TGAAGGGCCACTCCGTCAAATTTGGGGTATGTTTTCCGGTTGCCATTCTGGTGACACGGGGCAGGTTCTCCTGGTCGATCTGGGGGCCCTCAGAGGGATACATCATAACGCATTGTTCTCCTCCCTGACGCGGGGGGCCCTCTGACCCGCGCAGTTGCCCCCGGATCAACATAGGAACCCTCATTGACACAATAACATTCCTGATCATCATAGGTGGTCCAGTAATTGTCACAAATAATTCCGTTGCAGATTTTTCTCTTTTCTTCGGAGATTATGCGGGCATCCTGAGCGTAGCTTGCAGATGGAAGTGGGGCGCCAAATTCACATCTGCAGGAAGATGGCTGATGAAGTATGTAAATCGTCATGCTTGTTTATGGTAGTACAAAAGTAAACTAAAGACGACCTTAATCTGAAAGGGGGGTGGCCCGTTAACACTGTTGGCCTGCACTTTGAAAAGGGGGGGGGGAGTATTGGCCCCCTGGTCCTCTCTGTTCCTACACCCACGAACAAGACCCCAACTGATTGGTGCGAAACCTATGCAGTACTAGCATCAGCAGATGCCAGCGACATTTTGAACACTTCTAGCACCTTCATTTAGCTAATATCCCATGTAATGACAATGCAAGGCGTTTTTTTTTCTCTCACGTCTGGCTACCGGTCACGGTGTGTCACGGTGGGGCCTGGAACGCTGAGTCTGAGGCGCGACGGGCAGTGTGAAACGCCTACACAAGCCATGTACGGCATCTCCCTCAAAGCCACTGTTCCCCTCAGTAGCAGGAAGCTCCGAATGAATCCTTGACATGTGTCGCTCCAACGCCCTCCGTTGACCTCTGAAGCTACAATTTAGGCATCCACAAACAACAAGCCTCCTGGATTGGCAGGGCTTCTTTAGCGCGACGACCAGGGCGCCCCCCTTTGTAAATCCTTGAAAGCCATACAGCGCCTTAAAAACCGACGATTTGCTATGTTCTTCAAGCTAGCTTCCCACGACATGAATGCAACCAGCGGCAGCCCACAGCCTCGCAATGGAGCCAATTCATTACCGCATGCGAGCACTTGTCCCATCTGTCTCAGACCGCACGAAGCTTTGAAGCGCCAAACTGATCACGTTCGTCGCAAGGTGCTGTGGCGAGCCACGACTGTTACGAGTAGTAATAAGCCTAGTTATTTGGTATTTTATACTGTTAGGTACGTCAAATGAATCTCGGCTGAAATGCTTGTGAAAAGCTTTGATCAGAGGGGCATTGCAAAAACGCACTGCTACCATCCATCTGTAACGTCAACACTGGTATAGTATAGTTTGTAGTATATTTCTGTCACCTGCTAAAAGCTATCCCAATTAAACCTACTATGATTGGCAGCATCCTATGGCTCAGTCTGGTCATACAGCCAGGGGCGGATCCAGGATTTCATCAAGGAGGGCACGCAACATTGTGGGCCCCCTAGAGTTTTGGGTCCGCTCCCAAAAATATATTTGCATTCCGGCCATTAAATTTAAACATGAATAGGGTATAACACAAGCACACACACACACACACACACACACACACACACACACACACACACACACACACACACACACACACACACACACACACCACACACACACACACACGCGCGCGCGCGCGCGCGCGCGCATATATATATATATATATATATATATATATATATATATATATATATATATATATATATATATATATAGCACATACATGAAACTCATTCATTTTCTGCAAGTCATGTTAAATCATGTGATTTTGAGGCTAAGTGTTTCGGAAAAACACAAAATAAGCCCAAGCTGTCTGCTAAACACCACCAAAACCAAGCGCGGAATTCATTCCTAGCCAACCGGCTAAGCGATGTAATCAACTGATGGCTGACGACTTATGCAGAAGTTTCCCTTTGCTATCAAGGAGTACAAAATATATTAGCATTCAAAACATGTTAACAATGTGATACACAAGTAAAGTAAGTGCCACACACTGAATAGATAAGGGAAGTGACACATACGACCTCGGCGGCACGTAAAATTACGTTCGACAATTGATGATTGGGGTTTTGGGGCGCACCGACTTCTGAGGTCAACACGCCCGACAATTCCACGCAAAAAAATCGTCGGCGCATATCCGACTGCTGTTCTTAGGCTGAGGCACCAATACCAAAAGGGAAGGAACTCGAGCGATCACGGGCGCCGCAGGAGGCCAGTAAGAGGCTCCTGTCAACAAGTATAGGGTCCTCAGAGCAAGCGAAAAGAACCCAAGACCAACGTGGTGGACCCTTAAACGATCGGTAATGCCCCGGCGGGCTGACATATAAGACCTAGCCTGAACACAGGACCCTCTCAGCAGAGGAGAATTACCAATATCATGAGGCAATACCCCTGTGCAATCAGGACTGCTCGGGCGGGTTCACAGAAAATCTCGATAGGAGTGAGGAATCCTCCGCAAATGACATTAAAGGGAAACAGCCCTGGATCAAAGTATAGGGCACCTGAGCAACTAAGTGACTTCTCCCAAGCAACACCTTCTCAATCAGTGGAAAATTAACGTTGCTTATAAATTCTTTACTTTTGCTGGCAACCGTTGTTGGTCGTCTGTAGGTCTTCGTCGTCTTGACCCTAAGAACGTCCAATTTTGCTGTGTTTTTGCTTTATTAGAAAACTGCGTCCGTTCGACCAGTTATGGGCCCCTTCAGAGCCTACAAGACCCTTCGGCATGGTTCTGTAGGCATTGCCCCTTCAGCATGACCCAGGAGGGCATACCTAATTGCATTCTGTAGGCCGTGTCTGTATTTGTATCCGTATATTCTGTATCTGTATCGGCCACAGGTCCGAGCAGCCTAATAGATGGGGCCTGCCAAGAACATATCCATTCAAGTAAGAGGTACTCGAGACACAGCATGGATGGCCCCGGAATGATCGAGTGTGCCCGAGCTGTTTGTCAGAAGAGGCCCAACTGAAGCAGAGGGTCCCTAATTAAAAAAGAAGAGCCCCAAAACCCAGTGCGGACGGCCCCCGAAAGATAAAGTGTACCAGAGCAAGCTATCAGATGGCCCCGATAGGAGCGTAGGGACCTAAATTCAAACCCCGATACCCGATGCGTAGGGCCCCCGAGCAATCCAGTGCGGCCGAGGAGGCGAACAGAGGGGGCCCCGGCAAGTGCGAAGGGCCTCCCATTTAAGTGGGACGTAACCAACATCCAATGAACAGAACGATCAAACGATCGTTGTGAACGATCAAACGATCGTTGTGAACGATCAAACGATCAAATGTGCCCTTGATAAAATGATGAAATGTGCGATCAGGCTAACATATAGGGCACTCAACAATAGCGCAGGCCTTCCCACTCAAGTAAGAAATGCCCAAGATCCAGCGCGGAGGGCCCTCGAAAGATCGAGCGTACCAGGGCAGGCTATGAGATGGCCCCCGACAAGAGCGTAGGGCCCTGCACTAAAATACCTAATGTGCAGGGCCCCCAAACAATGCAGCGTGCCCGAGCTGATTAACAGATGGAGTCCCGACGAGTATGTAGGGCCCTCCATTGAAATGGAGAGTACCCAAGACCCATTTGAAGGGCCCAAACGATTAAGTGTGCCCAAGCAGGTTACAGATCGGCCCCCGGCAAGAACGTAGAGCCCTAAGCAAGTGACGCGGGGCTGGAAGCGCTCTAGACCAATGTGGAGAGCCCATGAGCATACCGCGAGGGTGTCGGTAGGTTAACCGAGAGCAACGTAAAGGGCTGCTGAGCAGCTGAGAATACACCGGTAGGTTAACATATGGGTTAAAATAACGTTAACGTATGGGTAGCGTAACGGCTGTAGCCCATAGGGCCTTTCTGGCGAATGGAAAGAATCTGTGGAAGGCCCCTGATTGACAAGAGCGCCCCGGCACGCCAGCAAAAAGGGCCCAGCAACAGTGCAGGGTCCTCCGAGCAAACGCAGATATCAAGGGCAATGTGGAAAGCTCCTTAACGATCGGAATGATGCTGCAAGTGGGCATGCAGCCCCCCCCCCCCTCCAGAAACAGCATATGGACCCTCGACAGCGTAATGACGGTCACACTTCTTAACCAACAACTTCCAAATCATTGTCTTTGCCTTCTCGTGAGTCCTTCATTTTTAATTGCAACTGTTCTTGGTTGCCTGGAAATCCAAAGATGTCCAGTTTTGTTTCGTTTTGGTAAAAAATTACACCTGTTCGGCCGGCTATGGGGTCCCCTCGGGGTCCAAAGGGGGGGAGGCATGACCCTGTGGTCCACCCTCTAGATCCGCCCCTGCATACAGCGAGGCGTCAACGTTTCGACGTTTGCTGTACACAAGCTCACGCTGCAAGCGTTAGCAAGTACAGACCAATACTAAGCTTTGAGTTTAGCGTAGTTGGTCAGGTCCGTTGTAATTGGTTTTCATGTTTACAGTTCGCCACAAACTGGTTCGCAAAAGTGGCCGTTTCTGTCACCGATCATATTCGGTGAATCAGCGGTTTTCTCGCCAGCCTACGTTACCAATCGCGCTGTCAACGAGGCAGCCTCGTCAGCCCACAGCCGCTCACGTTTCCTCCATCTGAAATATGTCGCCAGAACACCCTAATTAATCTGTGTCCGTTGCAGGTCAGGCTGCAGGGCTGCATAACGCACACCTCTGCTCGGACTGCCGGAGCTCCGCGCGCGCGGACACGCCCGGTCACACGCTCGTCCAGTCAGGCACGGAGCGGCGTGGTGCCATTACATCCGAACAGGAAATTGTCGACCGCCACGTGCTCCACCAGCTTAAGTGGTCCGCGGTCTTCAGATGAATGAGTTCTCCCTGTAGATCAGCGAATGGAGAAGCCCATCCGTAATATATCTCTTTATTAAAATCGTTATAAATCATGCACAAAAATAGACTGAACACGCGGCGACAATGTCTTGACGGTGGAACAGTGAGGTGGCGGTGCGGTGGCAGCTGCGTTCGCTGCAAAGACTCGACCCCCCTCCCCCCCCCCCCCACCCCCGCCCACCACACACACACATTACAGGTCGCCCGTCCGCCGAACAGAGCGGCCCGACAACACCGGCCAGGGCGCGAGAGACAGGCGCGGAAGACAGACGCAGATATCACAGGACGCGGGATCGGCTGGAGGACGCCGCCGAGCGAGCGTCTCGAGTTACGGCAGGTCGCACAGATCGGGTCAGTCGGGGGCCGTTCGACAGCGAGAGCCGCCGCGCGCGCGGACGTGCGGCACGAGCACAGCGCAGGCAGCGGCCGCCAGGAGGCTGGCGCTGCCCCCGACTAAGCGGTTAGCTCTCTGTGAAGCCGAGCCGGCGGAGGAACGAAGCTAGGCGTGCCAAGACGTGCCCTCGGGAAAGGGACGGGGCGACGGGCCGACGCTCGGAAACAGACACGCACACACTGCACGCCGCGCACAATGCCACACCTGGAATCAACAGTCTCCACCATCGAAATGCGTTATGTCACAACGATAAAAGTCTATACACAAAACGGTCAGGTCAAACTCAGACTGGTCGGCACAATCTTCGGAACACAGCCGACGCACCGCGGCGGGGCCAGCGCCGCCCGAGTCGGCGGGGCGTCCGAGCCGGACGACGCGGCCCGCGCCCCGTCGGCGCCGCTGAACAGTCGCCGGGCCCCGCCACAACCAGCCGAGCACCGGCGACGGCCGCGCCGCATCCTTCCGTCTCGCGACGGACGGCGACGGAACGTATGAGGGAGGCGGACCAGCGGCGGCGACGGGGCAGAGTCCGGTCAGGCCTCTGGCGCGAGGCGGCCGCCGCTGGCCTAGTCGGCCACTACGCTCTGGTAGATGGTGCGCAGCATCTCGCGGATCTCCCAGAAGGTGGGGCGGTCCTCCGACTTGTACCGCCAGCACTTCTGCATCACCTGCCGGCAACGACAGCGCGTCACCGGGCGGCCGCGCCGACGTCGGCTGTGGTGGCGACCGCCGCACGCCCGGGCACACCCGCTCCGCACCCCGCCGTCCCGGTGCAAGCCCCGCTCTCACAGGTCGGCGGAGCGACATGTCCCCGATCACACCCGCTCCGCACCCCACCGCCCCGGTGCGAGCCCCGCTCTCACAGATCGGCAGAGCGACACGGTCGGCCAGCGTCGCATTGGCCCGCCGACCTTGCCGGCTCGCTTCAGCTCGCAGTACAGCTGAAGCTGAGCAGTGACCGACAGCTGGCCGCCCACCACGACATGCAGTGACGGCTGATGATCGCATTGCGGTCGCACGCACCACCCGAAACGTGGCAGACCAGTCGTCTTTCCAGTGGAGTATTCCTTCCTTGTTCTTTAATGGAACAAAACATGCCTACCAACGGAATATATCAAAGCTGTCTGTACGGACCGAAAACGGAGCGGAAGGCGTGGACATACCTCGTACACGTCTTTGGCGCAGTATTTGGGCCGGTCTAGCACGTGGCCGAGTTGGACGCGCTCCACCACCTCGGCGTTCTTCATGCGGCTATAGGGCATCTTGCCACAGGTGAACACCTCCCACATGAGCACGCCTGAGGGCAGAGTCACACCGTCGCAGAGCTGACGCGGCCGGCCAACGCCACCGCCCTACTGGCGCAGCCACAGGGACCGCTGCCGGCGGCGAGGCGAACCACTCCGTCGGGAGCAACTGCAGCGGCAGCGTATGGGTCAGCATGGCTGGTGAGCCTGGCCGCACGCAGCGGCATGCGTGCCCGCCCTCACCACCTCCAAATACACGGGGCGGCCATCTTGAGATGCCATGCATCCTGTGATAATCACGGTGGACAGTGCCGATCCCGCACCAGATCGAGCGTGCCGACCGTCCCCGGCCGTCCGGTACGGTCCGGCCGCGGCCGGCCCCGCTTCGTTTTTCAGCGGCCGGCGCCGGTCGATGCCGCGCCGCCCCCCCCCCCCCCCCCGCCGCGGCCGCGTCCGGCGCCGCTAATTGGCCGGCCGTGTCGGCGCCGTTGGCCGGAGGCTCACCGAACGCCCAGACGTCCGACTTGGAGGAGAAGCGGGTGTAGTTGAGCACCTCGGGCGAGGCCCACTTGATGGGGAACTTGGCACCGCCCGAGCTGGTGTACTGGTCGTCCAGCACGTACCTGCGGCGAGACGAGACGTGATGTGGAGGCGACAGCGCGATGCCCGGACACTCAGAAATGACTGCTGCGGTCGGCGGCGATAAGCAAGACAGACGTTGCGAACGGCGTCCAACGGAGCACGAACGCCGAGGCTTATTAGCTGGTTTAGAACTACGCAGCGTGCGGACGGTGGTGCGGTGACCGGAAGTTCACTGCTGGAAGGCTAGAGACAATTCAAGAGCGGCGGCATCACGAGAGCAAAGCCCGCAACGGACTCGCACCACGCCACAGAGCTGCTGACAAGACCAAGGAGCGACGTGGGAAAGACATCAGCACGACAGCAGCACCAACTGCATCAACAGAGCAGTTCTTCGGTGTGCGTGAACGCTGATATCACCACCTTACATCGTTATTGACCTTATCCCAAGGAACATATTCGATAACAATATACCCTGGCAGGAAAGATGTGGACATGTCAGCGATATCGGGATAATCACATTCCTTGCAGCCAGCCCGGCTGGCCCTGCGCCAATATCTGTCGTCGACGAACGTCCGCCAGGCCAGCCGCTGCCCCCCTCCCCCCTCCCGCCTCCCCAGCCGCGCCCCGCGGGCTGACCTGGCCAGCCCGAAGTCGGCCACCTTGACGTTCATCTCGGAGCCGACCAGGCAGTTGCGGGCGGCCAGGTCCCGGTGGATGTAGTTGTGGCGCTCCAGGTACGCCATACCTTTGGACACCTGCGGCAGCAGAGCCGGACCGGGCGGGTCAGATGGGCTATGGGACTCGCGGCACACTGCCGCCCGGCGCTCGCGTTCGGACGGAGGTGTACCGACTCTGGCGGTCGCAGGCTCGGACCGGCACATCCCGACGCTGCCGTGTCGCGCCGCCGCGTCTGTGGCCACGTGCCGTCGCTCTCCACCGACGAACACGCTCCGATTGCGAGGCGCCATGACCCATGCAACCCAGCCTACAGAACCAAACCAAAAACGAAGCACAAGCACTGCAAGAAAACCTGCTGCCCAAAGCGAATGTGCTATACTGTACGTAAAGAGCAAGTCAACACGAGTATCGGGAATTCCAAGTCACGCACTCGCTAGCCTTTTCCACCGAGGCCTGATTAGCCGTCCGCGTGCAGTGCCAGTAACCACTGAACATGCACAGTCTGTTGACCCAAACCAAGGTAAACACTGGAACGCCACGAGCAAACCCAATTGATGCTGGGTGACAGCAATCCACCAGTGAGCAAACCATTCCTACGACACGCAATGTCCGTGGTCAGAAAACGTTAACATCGTTTTTTTACTTTTGCATTTCTAACGGACAAGTCCACAGCTAGCGACCAGTAAATACCAGATGTTGATATGTCGCGCGTAAATGATAATGCACCCCCGAGGGATGACCGGCTCTGAAAGTGGCACGACGGACACCTCTTCCGTGCCTTAGTGGCCTTAACAGACTTGCGCAGTACGTAATGTCAGCTTCGCTAGAGCCAGCAGACCGGGGCGGTCCAATCCACTCCGGTCTCGCAGAGTGGGCTTGGCTCAAATTTCCGATACAGGGCAGAGCAGCCGCCGATCCCCCAGGTGAGCGGCCGGGGCCCGCCGTCACCCTGCGGCGCTGCCGTCCGTGCTTATGTCCGCCAATGATACCAGCTGAGCCGCCCCACCCAGATCATTGCCAGTCCGAGGGCCGCCCTGTCAGACTGTCCGCTCCCGCCAGCACCGACACCCTGTCCGACTGTCCGCTCCCGCCAGCACCGACACCCTGTCCGACTGTCCGCTCCCACCGGCACCGCCACCCTATCCGACTGTCCGCTCCCACCGGCACCGCCACCCTGTCCGACTGTCCGCTCCCACCGGCGCCGCTGCTCGGTCCCATCTGTCCGCTCCCACCGGCGCCACTGCCCTGTCCGTCTGTCGGCTCCCACCGGCGCCACTGCCCTGCCCCTCTGTCCGCTCCCACCGGCGCCACTGCCCAGTCCCGTCTGTCTGCTCCCACCGGCACCGACACCCCGTCCGTCTGTCGGCCCCCACCGGCACCTCCGCCCTGTATGTACACACCAGGGAGGCCGTGGCAGCACGGACAGCACCACAGGCCGGCCGACCGGGCCGTGGGTCGTGGCGCGCCCACTGTTGGTGGATATTCAACACAAACTCCAGCGGTTGTGCACGGAACGAGCTGACTTGAAAAATATCAGCCCCCATCCACTTTGGCTAACATTCCCGTAGCCAAGTGGCAATTTACACGCTGACACCATTCACGTACGTCACTCTCCAGTTAAACCATCCACAGGTATAACAGCCCCTCCCTCCCTGCCTCCGCCACGCAAGTGCCCGTCCTCCGGCACCCAGCGCCGGTCGTGCCCCGAGGCGGTCTGACCTGGAGGCACATGTGCAGCAGTAGCTCGATGCTGGCGATGAGCGTGGCCTCGTTCTTGCGCAGGTACGAGTGCAGCGAGCCGAACTTCATGTACTCGGTCACGATGAAGATGGGCCGGTGTTTGCTGCACACGCCGTACAGCTGCACCAGGTTCTGGTGCTGCAGCTTACTGCGGCCGCCGACGGAGAGCGGAGTTAGACCGCGTCACTCGGTCACACAGGGGCGCCGGACAGCGGCACGGCTCGGCGCCGATCAGCTATGAGAGTGAGTCCCTCGGGGCTTAGAGCGACAAGGTTCGTGCCAGTACACCCGTCCAAAACGGCACAACCGGTCCGCAGCTTGGGCGGCGCTGACCATTTCAGTCTACATAATTTTGGACTCGCGGTTTGATCAAGCATGGTATATGGGTATCAGCGTAAAATGGAAACCATCGCGAAATCGAGCAGCCAACAAACAACCTGTTGGAAAATCACATTTACCATCGCCAGCGACGCTGAAATGAGCAACCGGCAACAAGGGGCAAATACAACCACCCGCCAGCATGCGAGCCTCTCTTGCATAACGAGTTCCCAGAGAAAATGACCGCCCCGACCGCGCAGTGCGCACCGCAGCGATGCCGGCTGGGCCGACAGAATAGACGACAAATGAGCGGACCGGGGAAGAGCGGGCGGGGGAGAGAGGGCGCAGGGCATAAAAACGGCGAGCGCGAGGACGCGACCATGATCGATGCCTGGGTCGCACAGCACAGCCGACCAGCTGCGAGACCGTACTGGGGCGGACGGGGAGGGGGGAGGGGGGGCCGTCTCCGGAGGTACACGGCCGGCCGATTGCCGCTCCAGGTCGGCCGCCGCGCGCCGGGCCTGACCCAGGACCGCCCGAGCCGCGCCACACAGCCCGACCGGCCCAGATCAGCCTGCCACGGCAGCGCGATCAGCCCCGGCAACGAGACACGCCGGAATACAAGGAGACGTGCAGCCGACCGCACGGAGGCGACGCACGCGGGGGAGGGGACAACTACGCCACCGACACAGAGGACCTGACGGCGGCACGACCCGCGCAGGCGACAGCCCGGCGCGCCTCTCGTGAGACGCCGGCTGACACGGGTGACCGTTCGTGCGGTCGCGGCGTCCGCCTCACTACTCACGTCATGACCTTGGCCTCTTCGATGAAATCGTCCTCGGACATGGTGCCCTCTTTCATCATCTTGACGGCGACGTCGATGGAGCCGCGCCACTTGCCGTGCCGCACGACGCCGAAGGTGCCGGAACCGAGCTCCTCCAGTAGCGTCAGCTCCAGCGGCTCGATCTCCCACTTGTCTGCCGAGATACTTGAAAGAGTTAACTCATATCCCAGCTGCAAGCCGGGATAGCGGACTTGGCCCAGGGGACGTTTGGGCTCAAACTCGGCTAAGACAGCGGTCGTGGTCCAAATATCAGAACTTTGAGGCTCTCTTAACTCCTGTGGATCTCAGATCCCACACTTCTGAGGTTTAAAAAACAAGAAGCGACATCCTCGCCTGTGACAACAATATTCCACGGCCATGCCGCCGACGACGCGTTGCCAATCGGACGGTCACGGGTCATAGATCAACACTCAATGCCACCCATCTGACCGACAGAGCGTCGGGGTCATGACGAACAGAAGCTCGATTGCTCACTCGGCCATGGACAGCAGCGCCTTCATCATGACCAATGGCCGGGTCTCTCACCGGCCCGTTCGGCCGCGCACGGAGTGATGGGTCACCCGAGCCTCCCGCCACGCCGTCATCATCGTGGCTCGCCCCTAGGTCACGGCCCGGCGCACAGCCGTGAAAAGGTCGCGAGGGGAGGGACAGGCTGGGTGTCAGGCCGGGATTTCGAGGCGCGAGACGCGAGGACGGCACGCGGGCCGGGACCACAATGGCGACGCGGAGCGGCAACGGCACGTCAGACCGCCACCCCGCCACGCCGGCGGAGCGGTCCACAACACACACACGGCACGAGGGTCATGCCACACACGCGCCGCGCGGCCGCCGGGGCGCCACAGACACCGCCGGCGGTCGAGCGCTGGGCGGCGAGCGGGCGCCGCGCCGCCGTACCGTGGCTGAGTCCGGCCGTGGCGGGCGCCGAGCGGACGGCGGCCAGCGGCGGCTGCTTCAACCGCGTGGCTAGACCGCCGCTGTTGTGCTGGTGGTAGTGGATCAGCTCCGGAATGTTGGCGCACGTGTGCTTCTCGGACAGGAAGCACTCGCCGCGCGCTGTCTGCTTGATGTGGTAGTGCTTCACCTGCGCTCGCGGCCTGCCGGGCGGCGGGACGGGACGCGTTAGCGTCAGCGGCGGCACGGCCGTCCGCATCGTCTCCTGTTGAGCTCGTGCCCGCGGGCCTTTGAAGAGACAGCGCTGGGACCAGCTTTGCAACTAAGCGGAGCGTGTGGTCTGACCCCGCGACCACCGACACGTCGTTTTCCCTGGGGCGATACGGAGCCATGCGGCGCCGCGGGCCTGTCCCGCCCCCACCCGGCCCCGGGCTCCCGCTGCCGCCGACAGCGGCGGCTCCCAGCACGAGGCCCGCCGCCGACGCCCAGACGAGCGGCCATTCCGGGACCCAATGGCTCGCATCGCGATAAAGCCGCCGGCGCGAGGCCGGCTGGAGCGGAGCGGTGCGTGGCACGGGCGCGGCACGATCCCCCGACCTGATACGGCCGACGCCGGCAAAGATGCACACGTGCACGCCCTCATAATGTCACGACGGTTGAGTGCACAGGCTCTCACCAGGGAGGGATTGTTTGCCTACGGCTTGTCTCCCGGTGGATCGGAACTCTGAGATACATGGCGCTCAACTCTAGTGCGGTGGCTTGGTAGGCAGCAGCATACTCGCATTGCAAGCAACCATAGACACATCACGGCCGTGCCCAAATTGAGCAACCCTACGCCCCTATATAGAACGGACATCCCTGCCGATCAGTTGTCCAACAACGAGCCCTCTCCCCCCTCCCCCCCCCCCTTCCCACCCATCTCCGCTCAAACATTTGCCACAGGATCAACTCACAGGCCTTTGGAGGTGAACAGCGACAGCGTGTACATGCCCTTGGAGGAGGAGTTGCGGACGACGAAGCAGCCCTCGCGCGCCTCGTCCTTCAGCATCGACTCGGACCGCTGCCGGCTCATATCGACCACATACCAGCTGAAAGGAGACGGCCGCGGGTCTGGTCAGCTCTGGGACGCCAGCGACACCCAACGCCGGGGCTTCGTAATTAGGTTTAGAGACGGGACGACGCGGCGCACTCACCAGGCGGGGACAGCGGCCGCGCGGCGGACGGAGGCGGACGAGCGCGACACTTACGGCTCTCACGTGATTCGGATTTTCGGCTGAAAGCTGCCGACGATATCGCGCGACGACGTCGTCGTTCCCGCCTCCAAGCGCGCTTTCACGGAACAGAAGACAACGGACGACACCGAGTGAACCGCGAAAACCCGCGGGAATGCAGTGGAAATGAACATGCCTTAGTGTGATGTCGAACAGCGCTCCGGCGTGGGAGGGAGGCTCGGCTTATGTGCCAATGACAAGGTATGGGAGAAGACTTCAGTCTAAGCAATGTCCGCAAAATTGTCAGCGTCATTAACGGCACACGGTCCAGCCCGACCCCATCATCCAAAGCCGTTACTATAATCCATTCTCCTGACAGGAGCGGCTAGCACCAGCCGCCTCACCCCTTTTCAGTCCAACTTAGCCACCTAATCCAGCGTGGCCTTGGCCGGGCCGCACCACCACCAGCGCCCACAGGAGGCAGGAGCCCGCCCGGCCCGGGGAGGAGAGGTCTCGCCTAGCCCGGAGCGCAGACGCGGCCGCCGGCCGGCTCGGACTCACTCGTACTGCTGCAGGCCGATCTGCTCCTTCTCCTGCACGTAGTTACTGGGGATGTAGCCCACCTGCCTGCGGGGACGGGCCGGGACACCGGTCAGCACGGCGCAGAGGTCAAACGGCTGTACATCGACGGCAGACCCGGCGGGGCACAGGTGACGTCAGAGGTCCCAGCAACACCGGGACGGGATCAGGTCAGCACCACACGCAGAACGGGCCAGCCGCGCAGCGCAGAGGACCGGGCAGACGGCCCTGTGGCGGCCACTGCGGTCTCGGTGCCCCGGTTCGGCACACAAACACACAGGCCCGAACCGAACTCATCCCCGCTGCTGTGAGGTGGCGAATGCTCTCCTCGCGCGGGTGGCAGACCGACACACCGTCACTGCGCGCTGTCCGGGGCTGTCGGCCGGCCGGAGTACGTACCCGGCGGCGTTGCGAGCCTGCCACCAGTGCTCCCGCGAGTCCTCGACCACCTCGTACTCGGAGCCCTGCCGGCCAGACCCCACGACGTTGACACGTCGCCATCTCACACAGGACCACGGTGCGCTGAAGCTGGCTCTTACTTAGGTGGAGGGACGTCTCAGCGATGGGAACAGGTGGAATGTATGCAGGGGTTGGGCAAGGAGGACGGGGTCGCGTCTTCCTCCACCGATCGCTGACTTTAAATGGAATACAGTCCAGCTATTTTTAAATATGTAGAGTGGCTCGACTAAGATGGCCAGAAGAGATGATCGGATGAAACTGGTCACAAGAGGTTTAAAGGACTGGATGATCGCAAGAGATGATCGGATGAAGCGATGGCGACTGCGCTCATCTGTCATGCTGCCGAACGTGTGGGGATGCAACTGACACAAAACATGTAACTCAGCTCGGCATAGTTCGATAAGGGTTATCTCGTGACATTTGTAACTTGTGAACGTCAAAAAGTAGCCACCATACGCATATAATAGTACAAAACACATTTTTCTGCAAACGCGTCCGACGCTGGCTCTCCTACCGCGGCCAACCGACCCCGAAGCGTCACTTTTTATGCCTTTGGAGAGGCCCTGGCTCCCCAGGACTGACTTGAGCATCCCCCCCTATCCAAGTGGGAAAAACATATAACCATAGGGCCAAGAAAACATACCAGGACCGTGAACCGGGCGAATAGCTTAAAGCGAAAAGCATATTGACGGAAGCGCCTCGTTGACGACGTGTCAATTGTCGAAATACAAATACGTCGACACGCTTCTATGCAAAAAGCAATCAGTTAACATTATAATTACACATTACTATCCAGGACTGAAAATTGTTAATTTTTCGGGCTTATTAGATAGTGATGTATGACAATTCTAATTAAGCGAACGTCAGCATGCCAAAACAGGATTTACGCGAATGGCAATTACATGAACGTAATCATCGCGCGGCAATCTGACGGCCTATTGACTTTTGTAGAAATGATATCGACTCATTAACTTGTGTAATAATATCGGCCAATTAACATTTCGGCAAATTGGCGCGCTTACGAAGGAGCATGTTGATAAATTACATTAGGACTTTTTGCACTTCATCTTATCAACACGGGGGTAAAAAGACAAAGTGGCAAAACAACATTCGGTTACTGACATTCGGTAAAAAGGCACCCGGCCAAATAAGTTCATTTGGCTACTTGTTCGGTTATTTGTCCAGATAAATCAATAGGCACGGATCTTACATGACACGACAGCTGAAATGCACGGAATTTACGATAAACAAGAGCGAGACCTATCGATTTCATCCTGCCTTTCAAAATATCCCCTGCATTTCGCTGCGGAACCGTTATTGTTCCGTCACTATGTATCTGGTCGGCCATTTTGAGTTTGTTGATTTGGTGCCATGGGGTAAAACCAAGGTGCAATCGCGACGCGAAATGACGAATAAGTTCACGGCAACTACACAAAAGCGCTGCCGGAGTAAAATTTATCCTGATAAATTTGAGGTACACCATGGATTTCCCTCTTGTGTATACTGCCCCTTGTGCTTTTGAACCGTGTCCAATTATGCCTGGCGGGAAAAGTGCTACCATGAAATGAAAAGCTGCCACGGCAGTACAGACAGGTGGTATTCGCATCCGTTGGGCCAAGGACTAGATCAAACATTTTAATGAATTACTGCAGCCCAGAAAGAGAAGTGCTAGCAGCCCAAAAACAGAAGTGATACGGAAAAATTGATAATGTGTGAGAACTTTCCAGATGTCTATCTAACATATTTTTCAGCAGCACTCGCCCATTTCAAGATCCTTCTAGCCCAACCCCTTTAACCCTTACAAGAACAAGCCAACTTGCACCAGCGTCTTTGCGAAGTCCGGCTTGGCTAACCTATCGGTCATTGATTGAAAGGACATTCATTACTCGCCACGATGCTGGATGTTGCCTTTTAGCGGACCGTTTAAGGCCTGGGAGCATATTTCGATGATGATGATGATTTGGGGTTTTAGGGCGCATCGACTGCTAGAGGTCATGCAGCGCCCATGTTCTCGGGTTAGGAAATGTCTGACTAACAGGCTTAAGAAAGTTGTCTATATTACCCTGCCAGTTGGTCTCGTTAAATATGGCTATACTTACATCTAGGGTTTACTTAGCGATACGTCATAAGAAACCACCGAACAGAAAACAAGTGCACGTAACAATTTCCAAAACGTTAAACCAACACCTTCGAAATTGAAATACCACGTCACCGTGCACGGAATACACCACGAAACGCACCAGCGCCCACTGCGGGTGGCCCAGCCCGGCGACACAGGACTGTACCGGCGTGTGATCACCAGACGCTGACATCCCCCCCCCCCCCCCCACCCAGACCAACAACGGTTGTATGTGGGCCAGCACATCACGTGGCCCAGCCCGGGGACTGTTAATGGATTAATATATGGTACTGTAGCGTTGCAACGGAATACCACAGTTGTGGGCCTTACGCAAGGTCTTCGGTGGCATCTTTGCGACCGAGATTTTCAGAAGGCGGAAGCGGGCGCTGACCTCTGCGTGACGGGCCTGGGCGGCATGGGAACCTAGGCTCCTTTTCAACCCGGGACTCATTACACGGTTTGCGTCCTTCAAAGCCGCATGAAAGAAAGGTGTTCGAGGGGTGCAATTAACACACCTGTAGGTGCATTGTAAGATGCATTGCGCGTGATGAATTGTCATTCTTGGTAATGGAATGACCTTTGTTCTTAATGAATTCCGAAAATCTGCCTTCTCAAGGCTCGGGGGCAAGGGTAATTGCTGTAAGATTGTTCCAGCGTAGCATACACAAACTCGTACGCCTTGTGACATATCGGTCTTATTGCCGGTTTCAAAACAGAACGTTTTCTTACAAACAAGCATAGACGCGTTAGGCTATGACATTTCAGTGGTGAGTGATGTAATATCCTGTGAGTGACCTAAATTTAAAATGGAAATCCGCATCAGCAGAGATTTGACCTAATTTTTTGCCTCAAAAGATCGTCAAATGAAAATGTATGCTGATGGCATAAGCTGATTCAGTGCATTTCTCTCTGATACGATGACGTAAATACCAATACCATATTGAGACGTTTGAGTGTTGGTTAATTCCGGAGGGATATTGGCGCACGCCCCAGGGGACACCGAGGATACAATCGTGACATGTTTAAGGTTCCATTTAGACATTAGTCCCAAATATGGATTTCTGGCTAACTGCTGGAGTGGCATTTGGGTTAGACCTCGGTTTGGCCCTTGGGATCAAGTGAAATTTTGGGAAAGAGAAAATTAAAGGTGGGGTCAAGCCTCTTTTCCCAACAGAAGTTGGCGATTTCTTCACTCCGTCATCCACATGGAAACAACGTTTTGTTCAGCACAACGCACTGGCTCAATCGTCCGCCGCGAGTGTACAAGTTAGATGCGGTGGATGGGCTAGTCTCTGCTAAGCTGTTGCCTGCATGTTATGCTCTGATCCACCTCTTTGTTGGACCTCTAGCTGCTTTTTGGTACGCATGGTTACCTGAACATTGCAGAAGACCCAAAAGCGGCGCACAGTGAAACCACTAATTAACTAAGAAAGGTCCATAAAGCGCACCTTGGTGTGGATTTCGACTCAATTTTCGTCTTTCCAGACCCTGACTGAACTGGTCACCGGTCAAGCACCGTGTAAGCACATGGTCCGAAGAAAGCACGACCTGGTAGCCGCCAATGAAAGGCCGCTTTAATACCGTGGACATAAATTGAGACATGAAGAGGTTGCATTACGAGATGCCACTAAGCCACACGGTCGCACACAGAAACCGCATACTGCCTGGAACAGAACATAGCAACAAACCACACATTTGCATCATTCGAGACGGGCAACAGAGACCAGCCAGCCAGACGCGCAGCCGGAGCACGCGCCCCCACTCCAAAACCAGTCCGCGGCGCCGACCAACAGACGTTGTGTTCCAGCTGCCGTCGGCGACGGACACTGCCGGAGCGTGGCAGCGCCGCCGACGGCGCGTGACAGCATGACCAGCGCCACGTGACGGTGTCGGCACGCCGCCGCGGGCAGGCGGCTGGCGACGTACCTTGGTCAGTGACAGGTCACCGTCTTCGATGGCGTGGTAAGAGTACAGGGCGACCACAATCTTGGGCTTGGCAGGAGTGGGGGCCGCGCCGTCCGTCTGCGAAAGGTCGGCCCCGGGTCAGGTCACGACCGGGCGACGCGGGAGAGGCGACACGGCGGAGAACACGGAATCGACCGGCCGTCTCCAGGCGTCTTGTGTCATCGGCCCAAACAGGCTCTCTGTTGATTGAGGTTTTTGGGCGCATCGACTACCTGAACACGGTGCATCCATTGCCGCAACAAGTTTAAGAGCAGCCCCAAGAAATGCAGGAACGTCTCCAATTATACAGTCAGCAGACCCAGGGCCGGACGACCAGCCAGGAGATGAGAAAACGTGCGAGAGAGGACGGCAGCCGGTGCTCCATGGCGCTGGAGCCGCCGGGCTGCAGTGGAAGTGCTCGGCGGAGCCGGCGTCTCGACTCACCAGCGGCGGCGGCTGCGTCAGGGTCTGGCCGGTGAACGGCGCGGCGAGGCCGCCAGGAGCTGCCACGCCCCCTACTGGACAGCACGAGCACGGACCCACGTCAGACGCGCGTCCACGAGCGGCCGCGGAGCGCGAGCCCCACACAAACGCCGTCCATGCAGCCGGTAACAGCTCGGCAAAGCAGCACGACACGACATCCGACGACGCTGACACACGAACGGCAGCAGCAAGCGACTGGACAACGAGCGGCACGACTACGACGAAGCTGCGCAGCCTGGCGCCGACCGAAGGCACGCTCCGACCCCGGGAGGAGCCGCTACACAACTCATGCGTATGGCGGGGCCCGCGGCGGTCGTGGCAGCCGCCGCGCCGCCGCCCGGGCGTACGGCTACATGGCTGGGGCTGCGGGGTGCGACGCGGGCCTCACCGGCCGTGCTGCCGTCGAAGAGCGGCTCCGACTGGGAGACGGGCAGCTCGGGGTCGGCGATGCCCATGTGGGTAGTCTCCTCGCAGCCGGCGGTGCCCTTGTTGATGTGGCCGCAGCACTGCCAGCGACCGTTCTGCCAGATGTGCGGGTGGTAGCGCTCCAGCAGGCCGCCGTTGCCGCGACAGACTGCCGGCGGACGGGCGACGGCTGTGAGGCGGCGCCGACCGCCGGCGAGGTCAGATGAGGTGAGCTGACAACACGGATCGACTCGGCGACGTGTTGCGCCAGCACAATGCAATCTCCGCGATTCTTCGACGCCACAGGACTGGCGTATTGTGTCCACCTACATTCAAACTGTACATGCTTAATATGCAGAGGCGTCCGAACACTATAGCCCACTGACTATCCAGCCCAGCCATCCCGTGTCACAAACAAACCTGATCGCCTCTCACATTCACCTCCGGTTCTCACATCACCAGATCATCGCTGGCATTACCCCATCTTCCCTGCCGTCCGCACACCAGCACTCGATCCGAGAATGCCTGTGGACCCCCCAGCCCCGCCACCCCTTTCCCGGCCGGCGACACTCACGCTCCCTGATCGCCATCAGCCAGTCGTCGCGCTCGTCGTCGGAGCCGGCCGACACGTACAGCGTGTACTCGCCGTAGCCCAGCTGGAAGCTGTGCGGCCGGCTGTCGAGCGCGTTCTCGCTCAGCGGCTCCACCACGCGCACGGAGGCCAGCTCGATGCGGCCCTTCTCGCGGCCCTTGCGCTGCGACGGCGCGCCGTGCGGTCAGAGCGGGCGGGGCGGGGGTAACGGGGGCGGGCGGCATATTTCAGGGAGAGGGGGAAGAGTTTGACGCGGGCGAGAATCAGACACAGTAAAGGAGGACAGGGCGGGCTGGGATCACAGTCAGAGCCAGCGGAGGGGAGGGAGTGGAGGGGACGGGTACATGACAGGGTGTCACGGTGTCCCACCATGCGAGAGCGCATGGAGGGACACGTTCCAAAATCGGGGGGCGTCGAAGGAGATGGCAGCCACAGTTAGAGACGGTGAGGATGACAGATCTAAGTGGAGACGAGACGACGAAGGAGGACAGAGGGTAACCCTCTGTCCTCCACTGTAACAGCAGTGACAGCACAATGGGCTTGTCAACAGAGGGCTTAGCTCAGCAAAACACTTTCCTCAAAACATGCCATATTTCATCATGAGGCATTGGTGCCCAGGACGAAAGCTCACCAACAGCAGGGTAGGATTTATGTTGGTCACAATATATGTCTTCCAGCATCAGCCTTTGCATAACAAGTTCAGAAATGTGGCAAACAAATTGCCAGAACAGCAAAATGCACAAAAGCAGTTAAACAAACATTGTCAAACAGTTGAAACAGTTTAGAGGATGAACGCTCATGCCGACAGCAATACATCTTCAACACACGCCCGGGTGGCCGGCTGAATACCCTTCGCTCGGGTGGGGGTAGGGCGTATCTGGCACCCCTCCTCTGAGATCTCGAGAACTATGAGAGCTAGAGACACCAAATTCACAGGGTATGTTGACCTGTACATGAACTCACTTACGTCACAGTTTGAAGTTCCTAGGTCATCACCTTCGGGTCAAATAAGGCCAAACAAGGTCAAATTCCAGGTTGGTCTCCGAAGTGCCCCAGAACCTAGATAACTGTTTCTTAACAAAATTTAACATGCTCATTTAAGGTCAGTAGCCTTGTTTGACCTTTTGAAGGTCATAGTGACCAAGATTATATGAGATTGTTCTGAGTTTTTCATTTGAATAAGCGACAAAAATTACACTAGGCAGTAGGTTCCTAAAAACCAAATGTTGACCTGAGTCATTTTAGGTAAATGACCTATTCTGGCTACTAAGAAGCCCATGGAAGATGCAGAATGTGGTTCCTGCTATAAATAATAAATAAATCTAAATGAGCTCCAAAAACTATCCCATACAGTAAGCCCCACAGTAATAAAACAGGGTGGTTTTGACCTTGGTCTGACCTTCATACCTGACCTTGGGTCAATGCAATTTGCTCACTCAATTGTTGTGTTGTCTAAGAAAGCATTTCAGAGATGCATGGCTTCATCTAACACTCTATTGTTGCATCAGATTGAACAATTCCCTAGAAATTAGCTTCGCTGAAACCATGGCCTGACTTTGACCTGCCATGGGTCAGCGACCTTCCAAGGTACATCTTAATTTTCAACCAAACGATCCACTATTCGATCGTCTACAGGTGTGCAAAATTTGGCACGGTTACGCCGCGCCGTTCGGAAACCATTCTGGAAAAACCTTCGGGGGGTCAATTTGACCCCCCTTCCCCCACCCGAGCGCGTCTTAATCCGCAATCTCCACGCCATGTACACACCGGCAGGACTTACCTCCGGACCACCGTCATGGTACGCGAGCGCGGTCGGTGTGAGCACGAACCACCGGTTCTTGTAGTTGACGGGACCGAAGCGTTTTTTGTTCTGAGACCTCTTCACCATGTAGCTCTCCTTGATGATGGGGCCGCTGGGCTTGTTGCTGGATTGCTCCAGGAACCCCATGATGGAAGGGAGAAATCTGGCCAGGTCTCTGCAGGGAAACAGACATAACCAACTGCGACAAGGCAAACAACAACATGTTGGCCATGTCTCTCTAAAGCACATGCACCAGGTGTAAGCAGATATTCTTTGGAAGTGTGCAGTCCCCATGAAGTAATCAGTAAGGCACATGCAAAGCAACCAAATGACCACCATAATACATTGACCTTAAATGCTAACACCCCATGTGGCCCCCCACTGGTGGTGGAATTGTCTTTATGTAAGCCAAACAGCCGAGCCAGGCCGGCAACCTTGTCACAAGAGTGCTGGCAGAGTGGAAGAGGTGTTTTAGGACAACAAATGACACAAACTGATCTGCATGAAGATAAAACTTAGGCATCAGTCACTTCAGTTGGTAGCATTGTCTCTCAGATATTATCAACTAGATAATATCAAACCAAAGGCATTTCACCTTGGCACCCCTGGAAATCAGACAAATGGCTTGGTCAATGGAATTGAAAACCTGCCCTCCAAGAAAGCTTAGATTAATGGCAAGGTTTCATGATAAAGCACCTGCAGGTTAATTTAGAAACCACATTGTGTGCAGAACAAGAAAGTGGCAGCCCACATGATTGATGAATCTGCAAGATTTACAGGTTTGTAGGTTGTGACCATGTATTGTATAAACAAAGTTAGGTTGGGATGGTAGTTATAACAGAGTCAAGAACAGAACTATGGTCTTTGTAAGTCACACACCTCAATCCCCAAGATATATACAGGAGTTGAATTTAGGCCCACTTTTTCAAGAAAAGGTGGTTAATTGCTGGCTCATTGGCTAGAAAAGGTTGTGATTCCTTGGTTACTTTTCTATGGCACATTCATGCACACCACAAAGTTGGCTGTATAACTCAACCCTACCCTGATTGCCAGCATCTGACATAAATCCTTATGTCATCATATTAATCCTTATCAAAATACCCAAAGAAGATAGAGCCATCACTTGCATTTCAATGCTTTAGGGCAATTCAAATACCTTTGTGACACAAAATATACAAAATTGTGATAAGATGTCACACACCAGGCTGTGGATGATGGTCCAATGCATATAAACTGGTGCTACTTAATTGGTGTAGGGACAATATCACTGGGCATGCACTGATGGTTTGAGTTTTAGGCCACATCAACTACCTTAATCATGTGTTGCCCTTGGGCCTGTGTTTGTGGTACCTGTGGGCAATGGGCATGTATGTGTACATGATGGAATTCAAAGCACTTACATTGTTTATAATTCAATGTAGAACTATGGTTTCTGACAGGGTTATGATGTTAGCTGAGCCAACAACAATGGGGTCTGAGGTCCCAAATTTGTTATGAACAGTCATACACCCATAACTTGTGTAAAGCAGAAGCAAATATTGCACATGTCCTGGCTTTGGCTACTTAATTTTGCACCCTGATTGTTTCCAGCAGAAAGCACCCTATTTGTGTTGCTGTTTTGAGAACTTCCTATATGCAGGGTAAATTTTCATATTCATGTTGTTAATACAGCCTTAGCTATCATGCATGCTATCCAGTTTGCCTAAAACTGATCCAATGCACAACATGGCCACACAAAATGGATGAGCTGGACCTTGTTCTTACATGCAGGACACAGGTCAATCCAATTTGTGGTGAAGTTTTAAATTAAATATTACTTCTTTACTTTGTTAATTAGTTCAGAACAGTTTTTAGTTATTTTTGCCTTACCTCTACAGCATAATAATCCCAGAAACATTGGCTCTGCATGTTCCAAAATTTGTGTTGAAAATGTACCAACCTTTGAGATGTCAGATTTAGTGCATACATGCCCTGTGTTATTGTCATGTTACTATCATGCTAAGCAAAGCAAAAAACCTCCAGATCTTTAGGACAAATGCTTTCATTTTAGTATCCCAAAAGTAGTCAGGCATTTCTTCAGCTAATAAACCGTCACTAAAGAGAAATCATTGATGAACCTAGAGCCCATTACACATTAGTGCTGGCAGACCACATTTCTGTTAATTTTATTGATGAGCAAGGGTCAGAGGCCTGAGCTTTAGGAGGACCTTTCCCTGTGGATGGTTTGAATAAACACAAATTTTCAAATCATCTAACATACAAATGCATGTCATACAGATACCATATCAATCCATGTACCACACATTTTTGATCAGTTATGCAGATATTGGCGTACACAGGTTAATTGACACACTATTTTACACAGCTACAAAGGCTTACCTGTCTTTTGTTGTCCCATCCAAATTCAAAAGACAGCCAGCATGTCACACCTGTTGACAAAGTCACGCATTCACGCACAGGTGTTTGTTGCTCTAATTTTTAGCTAGAATGCAAACATGACAACGACGATCATTGGATGGAACCATAAGTTCGATCAGAACACCCTAAAACGTTCTCAATTCCCCCACATGTTACACCGTTTTTGACTCGATTTTAGTCGTGAAGGTCAATACTTTTTTCAAGGCACTTACAAGCACAAGCAAAAAATCGTCACGCAGGCGGAATCGATATCATGCCGTTCAAAGCAATCTAAAAACAGTCACAATTCATTGCAAAAATATACCTAACTTGCACAACTGCCACACCTTATACCAGTGCTTCCCCACAAAACGTCAACAACATGACGATTTTCACTAACAATCGTCTCAATGAATTTGGCAGCAAAGCCATGATTTGGAAGCACTTATCACCGCAACGAGAAATCAAGGGAAACAAAAGAATATTAAAGTGTTATGCATAGCTTATGAGATGCATGTTCCTGATATGTTCTTCAAGACTGTAAAGCGTTATTCATCGTAAAAGTGGCACAGAAGACATCTAGTTATTTCATATGTTTTTTAAATATCTAAAATTTCCGAGAACCCCGGTGAAATAAATGTTGTCGCCGTTTACGACGCTGCTGTGTCAAATGGGTACTTGTGGGGTCAGAAGCAAATACTATTCCATGCTGGTCCTGTAATTTTCCATACCTGGCTTATGCTGAACCCAAGGCCTTTTAACAACACTGAACATATCAAGATCAAAATATGGCAGGATGAGAAACATGCGGAATATTGAAACCTGAAGTCACTGATACCAAGCTGGTCGCCGGAGCCCAGGATGCTATGCGCCCTAATCCTTAACAGCAATAATGGCTCCACTTGTTATAGCTTTACAGCCTCCGTTCCAACGCAATGCTGATGTGAATAAGCATCCTTTTAAATAGTAGTGAAATCATTTTTGTGTGAAACAAGCAACTGATTTTACAAGCAGTTTATGAGGGAAGCAAATTTTGGAAGCTCTACTTCTTATTTGCATTCTGTTCATGATAGTGTTTTTTAATCTCAGTGCATTTATCACAACACACCACATGTTTTGTGGCAATCATTGAGTAGTATGGTTGGATGATACTTGTTTTCCTGTTGCGGCAGAGAAACTGGTGCTGATCTCTGCTAATTGCAAGTGGTATGCACACATGTTGTGATGATTTTGCAACCTTGTCATTTGTCGAGCTTCCGAGCACTAATGCCTTCAAGAGGAAGCTATTTCAAGCCTTTTCAGACCAGGATAATCCATGTGGGACATCATGTAAGCATATCTGTGTGTGTGTAAGGTGGTATAGATATAAAAAGTAGGTGCCAGGAAGGGAGTGAAGTTTCATATTCAGTTGGGTGAACAGGCTGCTACCCAGCATGGACCCTGGCAGTAAAATTGGTGGAAAAAGTGGGCCAATTCTGGGGAAAAATCTATTTATTGGTGTATCTTGGGTGGATTTAGTAATTTGCTCCCCCCCCCCCTCCCTCCATTTTTTTTGGTCAAACTGTGCCCTTGTGTCAGACCATTGCTCTTGGAAACTGTAGCTTTGGGTTCAGTTGCAGCTCATTTTTGAATAGTAGTGAGGGAAGTTTGTTAGTGATGATGATAATAATATGGAGTGACATTATGAGCACTTCATTTCAGATCTGACACATACCAAGTATAATGTGGATTGTGTACCAGTAACAACTGCCTTTCCTGTCACAGGGTATTGATCTCAGCTTACAAAAAGTGAATGGCTTGCCCATCATTCATCACCATGGCTTTGTGTGCCAGCTTCCAGCTAAGCACAGCTTTCCCATGGCCAAGTTTAATATGATACATGACTTGTTGGTTCAAGATGGTCTTCTGAACAGAAGCAAACAGGTATGAGACAAGATATTCTGTTTTGAGTAAACTACTTGAGGAGTATAGTACTCAATCAATTCTACATTGATGTAAGACTGAAATGTTGGACTATCATGCTTCACAATGTCATAGCTTCCCTATGCTATCAAGGCTTTTGGGATGGAAACCATCAGCTTTCAGACTATTTCAGCATAGTCAGATCCTATGTCTGCAGTTCAATCTAATAGGCCTATGAAATGAGATTCCATGTTTTTGATTGACATTATATAATGTTATTTACTGGCACACTGTACTGACTTGGTACAAATTCACCTAAGCTGATGCATCCAGAACTCATCTCAAGGGATGAAGTATGCCAAGTTCACACAGAAGAATATGTGGACAAGTTTTTTGGTGGTTACACTACAGACCAGGAGCAAAAGGCCACTGGCTTCCCATGGTCTCCAGGTTTAGTCTCCAGGGTCAGATATGAAACTGGTGAGTGATTCATGGAGCACTGTAATGCTGTTTGGAGGTCAGATGAGACATATATGCAAAGTGTGTACAATTAACATGGCAGACATGAAATACTGCCACCCAGGGCTTGATGTTCATGATGAAGTGGGCATGTGATGATCCAAGTAGCATTTGTCTGTCTTCTGTGCTTCTATAATGTAGTGCTTCAGCCTTTCAAGCTGGGGGATTTGTTTCTGCAATTTTCATTCCAGCTGTGGAATTAGTCTCTGTCAATGGCATTTCCAGCTGGGGAAGAAGTAGCAGGGTCAGTTCCAAAATAATTTGTAGCCTGTCTGTCACATTCATTGTCAACTGAGCCTCTGTTATGTTCACTGGAAGTTTGGCTGAATTACATCACTTCATACTGTACATTCTGGATAGCCTGTCTGGTTTTGTTCAACCCTTCAGTAAATGAACCAGTTTATCCGTGGGCGCCCGACAATCCACGCCATCTGTCGGACCTAGTTGAGTCTGAGTTCGCCGCGCGGTCCGCCAGGTGGCACTGTGCTTGCGGCCGAGGTGGCGCTGGAGCGCGGTCTGGCCTGCAGCACGGCTGGCGGCACGCACCACGCCTTCGCCGAGCGCGGCTCCGGCTACTGCCTCGTCAACGACCTGGCGGTGGCGGCGCGCCGCGTCACGCAGCGCACTGGCAGGCGCGTGCTCGTCGTCGACCTCGACGTGCACCAGGTGGGTGGCGGTAGGGCTGAAGACCGCCGGGCGAGCCAGCGCACTGGGGCGCGCAGCGGGTTTGGGAGGTAGACATGGCCAGAGAGTGTGTCTCCTCCTCTCAAATCGTTGGTGTGTTGTCGCCCCCTGGCAGTCCCGGTCGTTCTCCCGGTTGCCAAACCGCCCAACAGGTCCGATCCTCGCCACCCCGCTCGCGTGTGCGGCAATGCCCGCTACTTGCGCCGCGTTCGATCCGTACGCTAAGCTCGCCGCCAGTGACACGCCTCGGCCGTTACCAGGGCGACGGCACGGCGGCCATCTTTGCCGGCGACGAGAACGTGTTCACCTTCTCCATGCACTGCGAGAAAAACTTCCCGCTGCGCAAACAACGCTCCGACCTGGACGTCGGCTTGGACGTGGACCTGGGCGACGCGGCCTATATGACAACGCTGCGGGAGCATCTGGCGGCGCTGCTGGATCTGTTCCGGCCCGGCCTGGTGCTTTACGACGCCGGCGTGGACCCGCACGTGCGCGACGTTCTGGGGAGGCTGGCGCTGACCGACCAGGGTGAGCGCTGCGGTGCTGGCGCGCTGCTGCTTGGTTGGGATAGCGTGACTGGAAAGCTGTCGCTTCCACTGTCCGATGGTGATTGCCACGTGCCATTTCATGGCACATTTTGCTTCGATAATTATTGTTGACTTGCTGTGGCTCGATATTTCGGCGCCTGTGTTTCGGCTCGTTTGCGCTTGTATTAGAAATGAGGTGCACATTTATGTACGGCATCCAGCTGGTACCCGTTACAGCTCCCGCTGTCGCCGTCTGCCGCGCAGGCCTGTTCGACCGCGACTACCACGTGCTGAGCGAGGTGGTCAGGCGGGGCATCCCCTGCGCCACGGTGATCGGCGGCGGCTACTCGCGGGACCTGGCCGAGCTGGCGCGCCGGCACACGATCATTCACCGGGCCGCCACGGCCGTGTACCGAGGGCGGCTCGGTCAGCCCGCCACCTGACGCTCGCACCGCTGCACTGCCGGCCTGTAGGTCAGCTGCGCTGGCTTTAAGTCTGCGGGTGTGATGGGCGGGTCGGTGGTCTGTAGGTTTGATGTGCAGGCGGTGGCGTGTAGGTCTGCTGTGCGGCCACTAGCCTGTAGGTCTGCTGTGCGGGCTGTTGGTCTGTAGGTCTGCTGTGTGGGCTTATAGTCTGCGGGTCTGCTTTGCAGGCCAGTGGTCTGTAGGTTTGGTGTGCGGACTGGTGGTCTGTAGGTGTGCTGTGCGGTCACTGGCCTGTAGTTCATCTGTGCTGGCTTTATGTCTGCAGGCCCGCTGTGCGGGCCACTGGCTTATAAAGGTATCTTGCGTGAGGAGGAGACTTGTAGTTGTATGTACACAGCTGCGGTCTGTAGGTTCCTTGTGGGCCGCCAATCTGTTTGTCTATCGTGCAGGGAGGCTGGCTGTTGGTCTCGTGAGGGATGGGATAGGGCATCGGGAGAGTAGGTCTGTGGGAAAGGCCTTCGTGTGAGGCGCTGGCTTTGGAATGAAGGCGACATTTAGAGAGATATACCGGGGTTGCGATGAGAGGGAGAATGTGTTTTTCGGACGAATGCATGCAGTGACTGTCTTACCTCTGGATACCGGGTCACATAGGGAATGTGTCTCATCCTGTTAGCCTACCAACAGAGGTCAACCCTCTATATTGGCACGTGGTTCCCTAAGGACGCTTCCGAATCCTTAATCAGGGATTTGACGAGTTCGCGTACAATATGATCTGGTCGGCTCCAGTATTTACGTTTGTACACGTACAAGGTTGTGAGCGAGGAATACATCTTTTTAAATATAAGCATATCCGCGTTTCTTGAGCTCAGTAGGCGCCCTGCCATGGCACGAGGAATTTAGCGCCAGAGGTGTTGTTTCCTTTGCATTTCGTTGGCAGAGGCGAGGGAGCCAGGGAGCCATCTTGAAATTTTCTTACTGGTTATGACGGTATGGAGTAAATCGTCCAGTTGAGTTCCACGGAGCTGAATATGGATGCATGCTATCAGATGTTTGCCTCCTCCGCTGCATCAGCCTCCACCACACCACACTTTCTGCTGTGTTGCCTTTCGACACTAAAAGATCATATGCTGACCTGTCCGCGTGACCTGTCCGATTCGCCTTGCCGGATGCGCATAGGTGCTGGGTTGACCAAAAGTAGCCAGTATCTCGCAGCTGTGCTACATGTCAAGGTTATGGACTGATGTGCTGCTGCGCCTAGCGGCTCGCACGCTCGTGCCAATGGAATTCGCCGACCAGGGTAAGCCTGCCGACTACCCGTCGACAGATTTTGTTGGTCGTGTAGTCACCCGACCCCTGTTGGTCGCCGTATATGTACTTGAAATATATCCTCAGTTGTGTCTATGCACAGATCTCCAATGAATGATATATTGCTAATCTATGAGCAATATTATATACCCGACGCGCACGAAAGTTCCGAGGCGCATTTAAAAGTGGTCGTTCAGCAGCCGATAACGACAATTGCTTGCCGCTTTTCCCCGACGTCGGCAGGCAAGCTGCCGCATGTGAGACATTTATGTTCCTTTTCCGCTCGCTGTCGACGTGTGGTGTGGCCTGCGAAGACATTGCGTGCGCCGGCCTTTGGTTTTTGGCAAGTCGTGTGCGGGTTGATAATTCTTTGGTTGTTTTGTTGTGATTTTCCCGTACTCTGGTGAGATGTTTACCCGGCCGAGTATTTTTTTATTGAATGTTGGGTATTCTTCAATCGGTTCACATTTTTTAAAAGAAGGAAAATGTTCGTCGTGAGCGTTCTACGCGCGGCATAGAACGGACACAGTCAGCTCGCGTTAGCAGAATTGCTCAACTTTGCCCAACAAGCTGTTTCTTTTAAATTCAGTGCAATTTGGCCTGCCCTGGGTTTGGTACATATGTTTCCCAGGTTTAGTGCACAGATTTCACATAGGAGTGAATAAAAGTATGACACCATGGATGTAATTTTGGCAGGCCATCATTGCTCAATGTCTTGCATCCTGCTGAACATTGCAATTGCTTTAGCCTGATTGTAAGTATATATAAGTAGATAAAGAAACCTGGGTGATGTCCCATTAGGCTTCAATCAGGATGTGCTTGAACTGTGGTTAATTGGAATATCCACAAATGGCCATAAAGCAGCTGGCGGTGGTTTTGCTTCATACACTTATAGGATCCACCAACTTAAAGCAGAGTCCTGCTCATTCTCTGTCATATCTAAACATCATTGGTATCTCTTCAGACATTTCTTCAGCTTGTATGATGGCATCTGCCAAATCCTTGATGTTGTTTATGTGATACAAAACAGGATTTTGTAAATGCCATTATATAACAAACTGACTTCTCATTTATGCTAAGACCCTCACATAACTGGTTTTCCCCCTGCCATCTTTTCTGGTGAGTGGTATGGTTAATTTAGGAGGAAAAGCAGTTATGTTAGGGTTTTAGCCTAAATGAGAAGTCAGTTTGGTGTATAATGGCCTTCATAAAATCCTGTTTTGCATCACATAAGTATTATCAAGGATATAGCAGATGCCATCATAGAAGCTGAAGAAATGTCTGAGCAGAGATACCAATGATTTTTAGATATGCTTTGATAAGCAAGGCCACTGCTAGGAAAGTCATCACCAACAGTTGTGTGGATGTGAAGAAGATGATGCGTGATGGCTGGGAGGAGTCATGCACACATATGTTTGTAGAATGGCTCCATGATTTGTATTGGTGTGGAGTGATCTGTAAAACCTGCAATTTTTATCCAAAGGAGGCAAATTGACATGATGTGACAGTGGCGGCAGGCTGCCGCACATCTTGCCGCCCTGCCAGAGTGGCACCACCTGGGTCCAGGTGGACAGGTCGTTAGCCAGCGACGTTCTGAGTGGCGGAGTTGGAGCAGCACTGGCATTGCTCCTGGAGCACCCAGTCATGATGACGATCTTGTGACCTGCGCCGACAGCAAGTCGGCATTAGCGGTACTCTGGGTGGGGAGGGGGGGGGGGGGGGCAGTGCCCCCTGCCAGGGCAGTGCTCTTCATTGGGAACAGTGCCTTCTGTTAGAGCAATGCTCCCCACTGGGGCAATACTCTCCCCTGAGCTCGGCCATCTGGGAGGCGCTGTCCTCCTTCTCGGGGATCTCCGGACGGGTTCATCTCTAGTAACTGTCGGCCCGTTGCACCTGCCTGGCAATGACAGAGTCGACCCCCCTGGCCCAAGAAGGCGTCGACTCTGTTTCTACGCGACGTCGCTCTGTCCATCGTGCGGCGAGCGGGGCGGCGAGAGCCGAGAGAATCGGGCCTGACCAGCCGACCGGTACCACTCCTCGTCGGGCTCTGGATCGCCCCACTGGTGGCGGAGATGGCCGGAGCCGCGGCGGTGGACGTCCACTAGCTGCGCGCCGGCCACTGGTCGGGGTCGCCTCACCACCTGCACCAGGCAGGACGGAGCCGGTCCCGGTACTGTTCGCAGTGCAGCATCTCCAGCTGCCGGTGTGCTGGCGTCCCGTCTGCTGGGGGAGACGGGCACCCCGAGGCATGTACTCGCGCCGTGGCCGGCCCTCGCGGATTGCCGTCATTGTCTGCTCGGGACGATCTTCCCTTCCCGAGCAGCGGCAGCGTGGCGGCGGTCCTGGCGGCCGTCGCCAGGGCCCTTCAGAGCCGGTGGGCAACGCCAATGTAGGCGGCCGGTTGCGACACCTGGCCGCGAAACAGCTGCGTGACAACGCAGCGCGTTTCTCCCCCCCCCCCCCCCCTTCCCCCGTCCTTCCACGCCAGCCGACCTTGGACGGTCCGGCCCGGTCACCGTCGCTGCACCTGCCCGTCCGCCGGTCCGACCGGCTCCAGTCGGGGCTTCACTCGTGGTCGGTGCGGTGTCGAACCGGGCGGGCGGACTTCTCGCGCTGCTGAACGCCGCTCTGCCGCTTTCGGGCGCTGGTTTTACGACGCGTGTGACTACCGTCGTGCCACGTGTTTCAACGATCGGCGATCGGCGTGGTTATTGAGGATCAGGGTATCTGTGAAGGGCGTTCAGTTTTGTGGTACGTTAGCTGTCGATCTCGCCGAGCTTAGAGCACGGCCGCTCTCAGTCCCACCAGCGGTGCCGTGCATCTCAGACACTCATCAACAGGTCACCCGCCGCGTTTGTTTTGTCGGATGGCTAGACCATGGCTAGGTGTCAGGCCAGAAACGCCCTGCAGTGCCCAATCTGGGATTCACTGAAGTAATCCATGAACAAAATTAAAATGAAGTTAATATGTGAACTTGTCAAAAGGATGTATGGTTTATTAAAAGCGACTTATAAAACAACATACAAGTAATTGAATCCGCATGCTGAAACAGGTCTTGGGCTGTCGCAATAGCCTGAACAAAACTTGAAAATTTGTTGAATAATGGATTTGCGAAATGGATTCGCTTGTTTTGTTTCAGACCATACCAGCCGTGTGTGTGTGCGTGCTCGTGTGCGTGTGTCCGTGCTTATGCGTGCGGATGTGCGCGGGCGTGCGCGCGCACGTGCGCGTACTCGTCCGTGCCGCGTGGGCGTGCGTGTACGCGTGCGTCCGTCCGTCTGTGCTTGCGTGTGTACTGCGCGGGCAAACCGAATCGAGGGCGGGCGCTAACCTGTGCGCCTACTTCTGCAGCTGATCCGCCATGCGCTGCTTCGACCGCGTGCTGGACCCGCTGGACTATGAGGCCGGCATTCGGGAGATGCTGCGCGTGCTGCAGCCCGACTGGAAGCCGGACGCGATGAAGCTGCAGGTGCGTGGCTGCCGTTCGTCTCCGTTTGATGTATGTTGCGATGTTGACACCGGAACGCAGCGGTGGGAACAGTTATTCCAAACATGTTTATAATTTCACACACACACGCACGCACGCACGCGCACACGCAGAGCAGAGAGAGAGAGAGGGAGAGAGAGAGGAGAGAGAGAGAGAGAGAGAGAGAGAGAGAGAGAGAGAGAGAAGAGAGGAGAGAGAGAGAGGAGACGAGAGAGGAGGAGAAGGGAGAGGGAGAGGGAGAGAGGAGAGGAGAGGAGGGGAGAGGGAGAGGAGAGGGAGAGGCGAGAGGAGAGGAGGGGAGAGGGAGAGGGAGAGAGGAGAGGGAGAGGGGAGGGGAGAGGGAGAGGGAGAGGGAGGAGGGAGAGGCGAGGGAGAGGGAGAGGGAGAGGGAGAGGGAGAGGGAGAGGGAGAGGGAGAGGGAGAGAGGGAGAGGGAGAGAGGGAGAGGGAGGGGAGGGAGAGAGGGAGAGGGAGGAGGGAGAGGGAGAGGGAGAGGGAGAGGGAGAGGGAGAGGGAGAGGAGAGGGAGAGGGAGAGGGAGAGGGAGAGGGAGAGAGAGAGAGAGAGGGAGAGAGGAGAGGGAGAGAGAGGAGAGAGAGAGATGAGAGAGAGATAGAGAGAGAGAGAGAGATAAGATATATAGTATATATATATATATATATATATATATATATATATATATATATATATATATATCGCAGTGGTGCGTGTGCGTGCGTGCGTGCGTGCGTGCGTGTGCGTGCGTGCGTGCGTGCGGGCTTGCGTTGCGTTGGTGCGTGCGTGGTGGTGTACGTATGCATGTTACTGTATGTTATATTTGACGCTATGTATACGTTGGACGGACAGGCAGGCTCCCTGGCACACAGCCAAGATCCCTGCTTGTTGAAGGTAATTTACGACTTGTTTGTCGAGGCTTTATGTAAATGTTTTGCTGCCGCTTGTGCATATATTAAGTCTGACGCTAATGCCCCTGCTACAATGAAGTTATTGTTGCTGGTGCTGTTGTTGCCCGGCAGAAGTTCACGGGCCTGACCAACACGCTGGTGGGCTGCTGCCATGACGGTGACCGGGACGGCATGGTGCTGTTTCGCATGTACGGCGACGGCACAGACCTCTTCATTGACCGCGACGCCGAGAAGCGCAACATGCAGGTCAGCCTACTGCGGCTGCTGCCGCTATTGGTGTTGTTGCTTCTGCTGCTTCTGCTGCTTCGCTGCTGCTGCTGCTGGTGATGGTGATGTTGATGAGATTGATGCTGATGGTGATGATGATAATGAGGAGCGTAGTGACGTCCACCCGTAAACGTATGGATTTGTTCTGGAGTGAGCTTCCAATTTGCCAGGGACGTATCGAAGCCGGTGGGTTTCCTTTCCAGTGTATCCCATGAAATCGTGGCATGGCATATGAAGTCTTCAGCGCTATGCTTGCAAAAGCGCGGGTGTGCGGTGGCGTATGCTGACTTGGTTGCAGCGCGTATGGCTCTTATGGCCGGTGGCGCGGTCTGTCTCGCGGGCTGTGGCGGGGAGGAGGAGGCTCCACGAGCCAGTCTCAACTCCATGACTTTTGGACGGGAGACGAGCATTCTGCCACTGTGCCGCGGAAGCGCCAGAGGCTAGGCGTGTATGTGTAAAGTCTCGGGTAAGCGATCCAGCTTCATCCCTAATACACAAACACGTCGCAGGCAGGGTCGGCTTCAGATGAGGTCCGCAGTCAGACGCGTCAGCGTTGTTCTTGCGCAGTCTCGGCGGGCTTATTCCGGACATGATGGCGGCTGTTTCACTAGCAGTGGTAGACGACATGGGCCCGGGATACACCGCGTACAGTCTAGAACTAACCGGCCAAACGAGTTTGCTTGTTCTCGACAGCGGTGCTTCGGCAGTGCGCCCAGTGCACCTGGTAGCGACCAGCTCGGACCTTGACAGCATGCCATGTATCTTGGGGCGCTATCAGCGCTGCGCCTGTGACTAAGCCGTAATGCGGCTCGGGCTCCAGCTCCGGACGCTTTCTGCCGCTCTGTTGTTGTTCTGCCGGCGAGCGGGCTGCAGCTCAAGGTTGTTGCCCGGTGCCGCACCTGTTTACTGCTGGCGGCTGTCGCATACATTTCGCTGCTGCGAGCGTATCTGCTGTGTTTACGCTCGGGTCAAGGTGCGCTGGGATGATGGGAGGAGCACGAACCCGCGCGTGCGCCACGTTTTTTTGCGCTCCCTGGTGTGCGGATTGGGTAGCCATTTTATGTGGATAGTGTGTACTACAAAAGCACCGAGTGGGCCTGAATTGTAGACTTCTCCTTGTAACAGTGCAGAGGTCTACGCGGAAGCGACACTTGGCTCCAGAAATATTCCGACTACGTGTTGTGCAAACTCCAGTTCAGTCATCGGATTCGTTTCTTTTTATCCGGCTGTGTGTGCTGCATGACCGTATGCGCGATCTCATTAGTTTTTTGTTGCAGTGACATACTCGATGCTGCAAAAGGTCGCGCCGTCTCTACACGTACCGCCAAAACTGTTTGTCCCCGATGGTTCACTGCAATTCACTCATACTTTATCTCTCAAGCCCTCTCTGTGGTCCCCCTGCTTGCCCTCTCCGTGGTCCCCCGCTTGCCCTCTCCGTGGTCCCCCGCTTGCCCTCTCCGTGGTCCCCCGCTTGCCCTCTCCGTGGTCCCCCGCTTGCCCTCTCCGTGGTCCCTCGCTTGCCTTCTCCGTGGTCCCCCGCTTGCCCTCTCCGCGGTCCCCCGCCTGCCCTCTCCGTGGTCCCCCGCTTGCCCTCTCCGTGGTCCCCCGCTTGCCCTCTCCGTGGTCCCCCGCTTGCCCTCTCCGTGGTCCCCCGCTTGCCCTCTCCGTGGTCCCCCGCTTGCCCTCTCCGTGGTCCCCCGCTTGCCCTCTCCGTGGTCCCCCGCCTGCCCTCTCCGTGGTCCCCCGCTTGCCCTCTCCGTGGTCCCCCGCTTGCCCTCTCCGTGGTCCCCCGCTTGCCCTCTCCGTGGTCCCCCGCGTGCCTTCTCCGCGGTCCCCCGCCTGCCCTCTCCGTGGTCCCCGCCTGCCCTTGCCGTGGTCCCCCGCCTGCCCTCTCCGTGGTTCCCCGCTTGCCCTCTCCGTGGTCCCCCGTCCGCCCTCTCCATGGTCCCCTGCGTTGCCCTTCAAATCGCCATGCACCCCGCTCGAGTGGCGTCCGCTCCTCCCGTCTCCCTTAAGCGGCGCCGCGTGATCCCCGCCCCTCCCCTCAGATGATGCATCGGGCCGGCTGCGCGCGGCCCCTGCTGGCCTCGTTCCGCAATGGCCTGGTGTACGGCTACCAGCCGGGCCGCACGGTCACCAAGGAAACGGTGCGCGCGCCCGAAGTGTTCCCGCTGGTGGCGGCCGCCATGGCGCGCATGCACCGGATCCGTGCTGCGGGCGCCACGCCGCCGTCCGTGTGCCTCTGGGCCTCGCTCGACAAGATGATGGAGCTGGCGCCCTCGTCGTTCGACGACCCCCAACAGCAGCAGAGGTACGGCCGGGCTCGGACCGGTGTACGCGTGGTGTCATACCCCCGACGCTACGCCCGTGCCGTGACGTCATACGCCCATGTCGTGACGTCGCAGGTACTTATCGGCACTGCGCGGTCCGGCGGAGCTGCGCGCGGAACTGAAGGAGCTGCGCGCCGAGGTAGAGGCGCTGGACTCGCCGGTCGTCTTCTGCCACAACGACGGACTGCTGGACAACGTTCTGGTGACGCCGGACGGCCGCGCCTGCCTCATCGACTTCGAGTACGGCGGCTTCAACCACCAGGCGTACGACATCGGCAACCACTTCAACGAGTATGCCGGTGAGTGCACGTGATAATATGACAGGGCGCCGATGGGTGGTGTGCCCGACGCGTGCAACAGTGCAGGAGGACTTTGGGCCCCAGATTAGGGGCGGGGCTTAAGTCGGCAGTTTCAAGCATCCGGCTTCAGCCGTGGAGTGGCCGGCTGTAGTGGCTGCGCTTGCTTCTTGTAGTCGCGCCCAGCGTGGGTGCGTTCCCCCGCCAGACGCTGGGCATATCAAACACTGGCCAACGTCGCTTTCTGAGATCAGTTACTTCAAACGGCCTCTGGAAAGGTTGCACGTGCGCCTCGTTCGGAAACGCGCGTTCTGCCGGTTCTGTGCGGGCCGCTGTGAGGGCGTGCGTCATCTGGCCACGCGCGCTGTCGCTGTTCCTCACCGTTCGTGACATGCCCGGCTGTCACAGTTAAGCCATGCTCAAGCAAACGCGTCTCACCTTGTGAACGCGTGGTGGTCCCCCGTTGCTCGCCAGCGCCTCTGATGCAGCACCGGATACAGCCGAAGTCTTTCGTATCCGCTCCGTAGCGCTGCAGGTGCTATGGACGTAACGCTGTCTTACCACGGACAAGTCGCTTATTCCGTGGACCACTGGGCCTTTACGTGGGGGCGGCCAGGTTTGAGTTCCCCGCGCTGCGGATTCGCGTGCTGGCTGCCAGTGAAGTCCACGTGCCTGCTGGCCGTCAAGCGGTCGCTGAACTTCGTGGACCGCAGTGGGAAGATCCGCTGCCGCCCATCCCATGAACACTCCGCGCTAACCGCTTTGGACGCCGCCGAATGCAAGCTGACTGTGCCGCACTCTTGCCTCCTAGCACAAGCCCCCGCGTGTCGCGTGACGGTGGCGTGCCCCTGCTTCAGGTACCGAGGACGTGGACTACAGCCTGTTCCCGGGCCGGGAGCTGCAGCTGCAGTGGCTGCGCTGCTACCTCACCGCCTACCTCAACACCAGTCTGTCCGAGGCGCCGCAGCCCACTGGCCAGGCCGTCCAGCCTAGCGACGAGCAGGTCGAGCGGCTCTACGTGCAGGTCAGCGGCACTGGCGGTGCATTGCGGGCATTGCCAGGGATGTTCCGTGCGGCTCGTGGCGGCTGGCCTGGTTGAAGGCAATCGGAGTGTGACAAAATGGTGCGAGCCAGTTGAGGCCACCAAGCGCAGCGATCGGGGGTGTGACGGAACCCAAAACACGAAACCAAACGCTGTTGCTGTGTTCGCGGCAGTCTTTTATTTGATATGCGTGAGAGCACTGCGTCAAACTTACAAGTGTCCCGGCTTTCCGCGCTGGACGTGTGAAGGTGCATGCAACAACGGCGACGTCTTCGATGCTATTTTTTGATGAGTGTGCTAGGGTCGTATGTGTAACGTTTCCTTTATGCTTTTTCCTGCAGGTTATGAGTCATTAAGGAATTCATTACATAGCTGGCCAGTTGCGCGTTATTTAGCGCGTTGCTTTTTGTGCAATATTTATCAAGTGTTTTATATTTATCGTCCTGTTCGTGAACGTGGCTGTGGCCTAAACATGACACGGGGTGGTTGAAACATGGCTAATGATGTTGCAAAATATGACGGCATGGCCTTAGACACAATTTCACCACGTATCTTTATAAAGATAGGAATGCTGCTGGAAAAGACAGTGTGTGGTGTTTAGTTTAAGAGTATTTCTGCTTCATCTGCCTTCCCGTTTTTTCTTCCGCTGCTGAGTTTCTCAGTGGCGCATGAGCGCCGCCTTTGGGCGTTGATATGTGTAGGGTCGGCAGGGAGGTTCACTGAAATTCGGTTTAGCAGTGGCTTACGTGCTAACTGCTTGCTTCCAACATCCTTTTCCACAAGCTGTTGCATATTAGCAAAATGCGTTTGTCGTTTTTTCATTCTGGCATAGTGTGCAGGTGCATATTTACGTATTGGATCATCGACCACCGCGTTTTAAGAATATACCAAAGAGGGACACCTACGGCTAAGTTCATTGCAATCAGGGGCGTTTTTGAAGGTAGCAAAATAAGAATGTTCTGTGTCTGAAGGCTCTTTGGTGTTACTATGCACGTAAATCAAACATACTGTGGTGCTTATGATAAGGCATTTAGGTCTGAAGAACTATTAATATAAGTTGTGATTTTTTACTCATTTTTTATTTGTGATTTATTTTTTGTTTTTTTACTAATTTGTGAGCTACTTTTTTACTCATTTGTGAGCAAAATAAAGTTTATTGCCACCGGTCGATCGCCTCCGGCCGAAGCTTTCACTCCGACATGTCAAGTTGCATTCATTTCAGTCATATGCACCGTCCATAGTCATAACCGCGATTGTCGCTGTATCAAGAGCTGATATTTGGGAACGTTTTCAGACCAACAAGTTTTCACTGCTGTCACACTTCTACTGGGGCGTTTGGGCTCTTGTACAAACCCGGTTCTCCAAGATCGACTTCGACTATTTGGAGTAAGCTTTGTCTCTGAGGCAGAGTGTTTTGAAATGCGTCCTCTTCCGCCGCATGCTTGCCGTTTAACTGCATTGCGACAGTTCCCGTTCATTATTTTGGTTGGATGCCACCTGCCTTACCATTTTTGGCGATTTCATTCTTACAGTATCACTCGTTTATGCTATCAGCCATCAGATTTAGTTGCTGGCGATGGTATAGATCATGTGTCGTGCGATGTGCCCTACCTAACCTTATCAGTGTGCATTGAACGGAGTCACTGTTCGTAACCTTATGATTGCATTGGTCTGAACAGCCTTGAGATCAACGAAGGCTTACCTGAGGCGCTCCGTTGTACGATACCTTCGATTGCAGTGTGTAACGCGCTCTTCCAGTGTTCTTTTTTGCTGTGCGCAGTAACCGTCCACTTGGGGCGGCTGAAACGGTGCCGAAATCGCAGTATCGCCGTGCAGCGGTGTCTGTCTCAGTGTGCTGACGCCACCGCCGCCTGCCGCCCCAGGTACGCCATCATCCGCTTCTCAGAGTACGACCGGAGGCGGGCGGCGCTGGCGACGCTGTAGGGTCACGAGGCGACCCGGCCGACCGCCGCCCCCGCCCCCTCCCCATCCGCGACATTCCAGCCCATTCCAGGCGGCCGGTGTGGGCCGGGGAGCTGACGCCGGCCCGTGCTGCCCGGCCGGAGGCTGCAGGACGGGGACCTGAAGAATCGCCATGCGCGGGCTGGGAGAGGGCCGAGCCGTCTGGCCACGCGCAACCTCCGGGTGTTGATTGTGCGAGCTCATATCACCGATGTGTTCGACGGAGTCACCCGGCAATCGGTATCATGGTAGGCGGCGTCGGTTTGCATGAGACGCGTGATCGGATTGCGACAATTGCGCAATGCCGCGCTTCGGCGACGCCCACGATGGCGTACAATAATGACGTCAGTATTAAATTGGCACAATTATTAAGGTGGGGTTTATCGTGACTGCTGCAATATTGGATGACTTGCGAATATGGAAGCAATATCTGAGGACTTTCAAGTGGAGTGCTCGAAAGTAACTTCGCAGAATTATTTGAATCAAACTAAGACCTGCTGTTTTGGGGGGTGTTGATATATCAGAGCCATCTGTGTCAGCTGAGTTTGTCTTTTAACTAATTATATCCGTGCGTGCATCCGGTGGATGACACAGTGTGCTAAAGTATACGCCGCCGTAAAAATGGCGAGATGACTGATATCTTTAACGGGACGTTTTATGATCGCTGTCATGACATGGTAGGCAAAAATGGTTTTACGTGGCAGAATTGCCGCCTTCTATAGTCTGTACCGATAACAGTAAGGCAATTCTTGACTAAGCGTACGCCGTACTGGTCCCGTCTTGGTTCACAGAAGATCGCTGGTGAGGCCTGCAAACGGTTGGCATGTGTGCACGTGCAGTCTTGGGTTCTGATGCCGAGTGGCGAGGGTGGCCTCGACACCAAGACTTTGGAAATGTTCCGTGCCGCGTTTCAGACGAACTGAGCCATGTGCGTTGATCGACGCGCCTTAAACTAGATAGTAAGTGTATGCCGATGTACTTGCCGTTTGCATCGAAACATTCATCAAAAGTGCCTCGTGCTCGTGACTGCTGGTGGCCGGAGGGGCCATCAATACGCCATGTCATCACGTCGGCAAGAGAGAGCGCGCATAAAGAATGTAAGACCAGTATTAGTGACCTCTTGTGTGTTTCTTTGCTCCGTCACACATTAAGCCATTTTGAAAACACTTGGTGCTAAAGTGACAAGACACCTGTGACTATCACGCGTATGAGTCTGGTTCTACGTTCTTCACCGGGCAGTTAACTATCAGCAATGATGCGGAGGCAGTCTGCGTGTGTGATATGTGGCATAACAAATGATAGGTATGCTTCAAACCATCGCCATATTTTGTATTGCAACGGTTGGTTAGCGGTTCGGAAATGCGTTGAGATGATAGTAGGATTTATTCAGTTGCTGTTATTTTGCATGCTATTTTTCATCAGTTGCCGCAGTCTACGCTGGCTAGATGTTATGAGTCGAGTAGAATGTCCGATTTTTAAATATTTGACGTAGTATGTTGAAATCAGCAATGCCCGGTAACATCGGCCGACCTATTCTTGTTTTGTGGCGGGCTGTATTTTCTGTCGACCGCCGCTGTGCTGTCGCACTGATGTGTTGAACCATGCGGCTAACCATTCCAGCAGCACGACACTTGTGTGGGTGTGGTGCCAACAAACTTGTAACACTGCGGCCGCCGCTACAAACCACATGCCTTGCAATATATCTCCATGGGACTCACCGTTTCTTCTCCATCTGATAACAGTCCGTTATAAGGGGCCCTTCATGGCGAGGCCTCCTGCTGGCATTTCTGCAGCGCTCGGTTCCGCGCGAGATGGTCATGACATTTTGTCAATCCTAACTCTCAGGTGTGCTATGCGAATCAGAAACTTTCGCATCCCAGCGGAGGCGAGGTATCCCGCAGAGCTTTATGGTAGCGGGACCATGTGACGACGACAGTTTTTTAATATGCACGCCTGGATGCCAGGAACTGCCAGATATCACTGCCTTTACACACAGATTAACTCGGAGTCTTTCGTGGGATATTGACACGAAAGCGTGTCCGATTGTGGACAGGCCTTTGAAATGCAAGCTAAGTAATACCGATACAAATTGTAATTATGTTGAAACCCTCCGGTCAAGTCCGACAAGAAAATATCGTCTGGTTTGTCGAGAGGTGGACCTTCGTAGCTGCCTCCGCTCACGCCCCTCCCATTAGCTGGCCCTGTCACCTCCTCTCTCCTCCTCTCCCGTCTTCTTTCGATCCCACGGCCACCGGCAGCCGCATCCACGCGCTGGCCGGCTAGATGACGCCCTGTTCGCTCATCTCGTCAGCGAGCTCGAGCAGCAGCCGTTCCAGCTGCTGGTCCGTTGTCTTCACGGCCATGGCCTCCACCAGCCGGTCCACCAGCTGCTCGGGAGGGGCGCCCGGGTCGGCCCCGCTCGTGGCGTCTGTCGAAGCGGCGAGCGGCCGGTAATGGGCGAGGCGTGTTGGGAGGGCAAACAGCGGGAGGACAGACATTAAGGGGACCGCAGCATGATACGGTGTACTGGGAGTACAGCGGGGTTACCGGCAGGGCATGTTGTGTTGGGAGGACAAACAGCGGGGTTAACAATAGGGCGTGGTGTGCTGGAAGTACAGCGGGGTTAACAACGGGACGTGGTGTGCTGAGAGGGCGGACAGCGGGGTTAACAGGGCGTGGTGTGCTGGGAGGACAAACAGCGGGGTTAACAATAGGGCGTGGTGTGCTGGAAATACAGCGGGGTTAACAACGGGACGTGGTGTGCTGAGAGGACGGACAGCGGGGTTAACAGGGCGTGGTGTGCTGGGAGAACGGACAGCGGGGTTGACAACGGGACGTGGGTGCTGGGAGCACAGGCAGCGGCGCTGACAAGGGACTGAGCATACATGTGTGTCAGAGAGGTGGGAGGGGCAGACCGCATGGTGGGGAACGGATTTTGGTTAGCGGGTACCGCCACTACAAATAACGCGCCGGGGTATCACTCCGGGCGACGGAATGGGGGAAAGCGCAGGGCGCAAAGACGAGGGGATAAACCGTGGAGCTAACGGAGCGAAGTTCCAATATTCTGATGTCTACAGGCGCTGCTAAAGTGGGGCAGGTTGGGTCGCTGTAGATCACAAAACACCGCAGCACATTACAACGACGCAAAAACCGGAATGCCCTCTGGGCAGCAATGAACATTGCAGAGCACAACCTCGGACGTTTTGTGAGCGTCCATGGCCCGCAGGCCCGCGCTATTCGTGGTCACCTGTTCGACCGACGTTAAACAATTTACAGGAAGCTAAGAAAGAACACGAATTCAGGCGGGGTATTTTTTAAGGCCCTGTCGAACTAAATGGCTGCGATTGAACGCCGTCAGGCTCGGCCGTCCTCACCGTCGGCGGCCAGGGGCAGCACCACGTCGAAGATGACCCGCATGAGCGCCGCCTTCTTCGAGGCTTGGTAGTCGGCCACGAGCTGCTCGTGGCTCAGCCCCACGTCCGACGGCTGCAGCCCCGCCTCGCGCAGCGCCAGCGCCAGCTCGTCATGGAAGAAGCGCAGCACATCCGCGGTGTGACGGCGCCGGAACGCCGCGTCCGTGTTGTTCACCAGCACGGAGAACAGGTCCACCAGGAAGTTGCCGACGTGGCAGTGCTGCCAGTCGAGCAACATGACGCCGTCGGGCGCGCCGGCCGGCTCGTCCGCCGGGTAGCGGAACATCATGTTGAGCTTCCAGAGGTCGCCGTGGCAGACGGAGCGGAGCGTGCCGCCGCCGTGCATGCCGACGATCATCAGGTCGCGCGCCGACTCCTGCAGCGCCTCCAGGCGGCGCGCCGTCTCGTGCTGCGCCGAGTAGTGGCGCAGGAAGCCGACGTAGCCGCGCAGGCCGGCCCGGATCAGGTCGACCTCCATGCGCGGACCGCGCCACATGGTGCCGATCTCGAGCAGCGGCTCGCACAGCACGTCCCCCTCCGCGGCACGCCGCTGCAGCGCCAGGCCGGCGCCGACCGTCTGCGCCAGTGCCCGCACCACCAGCCGCACGTGCGCCAGGTCCAGCCGCGCGCCGGCCGCCGGCATGCGATACCCGGCGGCGCGCAGGTCGTCCATAACCATCACGACGCCGCCGTCGCCGTCGGTGGCGCCGTGGTAGTAGCGCGGCACGGGCAGCGCACCGCCGCGGGCGGCTTCCAGCGCCGGCACCAGCCGGTCGTAGAAGAGGATCTCACGCTCATAGCAGCGCGTGGCAAAGCAGAAGAAGCGGCCGAACGGGTCGTCGTGCGGCAGCTTGACGATGAGGCGGCGCTGCTCGCCGTCGGCGCCGGTCACGTGCACAGCGTACACGGCCGTGGCGTAGTTGGTACCGGGCGCGGCGCCGAGCGTGACCTCGAAGCGAAGCGGACCAACCGGAGCGCCACCTGGCCGCCGGTCCAGCACGAACGTCAGCCACTCGGCGGTGATGTCGGCCCGACCGGCCGGGATCAGCGAGGCGAGCTCGGCCATGACTGCGCCCGGTGTGCCGGGGCGGCGGCGGCCCCGGCGGCGGCGGCGACGCAGCTGCCCCCCGGGCTGGCCACGGGCGGAGCCTGCCGTCGGGCAGACTGCGGCCTGCTGCTAGCGGTCCTGCTGAGCGGAGTCTGGTAGCCGAGCTGGGCGCATCCGCTCACTCCAGGCAGACATCTGTCAGATGTTTGGAGCTGCTAAAGCCCAGACCATGGACGACATCGGCCCGCATGGTGTGGGACAGACCGCCCGCACGGCACGCCTATTCTCAACAGCGGTATTTAGCGCTGATGACACTAACCGGGACTGTCTGCGAGCGCACGCGACGCCAATTAGTCAGGTGCACATCCTGATCATCTGCTCATGTCCCATTTGCACATCAATCGCCGTCATTTAGGACCAACATAAGCATGTTAGCCAGGAGGCTAGCCCCTAACTAGCCCTTAAGATGTGTCGTTTTCCAGTGATCCGGTCTGTTTCATTGCTGCCGTGGCCGTCCATCTGCGATCTTTACGCCACCCAGGACTGCAGCACGGCGAGAAGATATATGGTGTGTGAAAATCGTCTGTCTTGAACTGGCATTCCCATTGGGGGCAGTGAGATTTCCCAGCAGGGGAAAATACGAGGACCTTAAGGAATGGTGACGGAGTGACCCATGTCTGATTCAAGAAAGAAATAATTAAGACGGCATCAGCAGGCAGGCACTGGATGGAAGATGGTGTCTACACCGGTAGTGCCATGCGCCACAATGACTGACCCGAAACGAAAACAGGAGTAGTGATCCCACTTACAATGACCTGTTAGTCACCAGTGAGATACCGCGGTTCAATAAAGTTGCCAGAATAAAATCGATGTGCAGAACGCTTTTGTGGACCGTTGCTTGTATGATCCTGTTCACATTAAGAAGGAAGAAGATACATGGCTCATGTTGAGTGTTGACGTTTGGTTATGGAGTACATCGCTATCTAATCAGCGCTTAGGAGAAAGGGACCTAGAAAGGTTGGGGCACTTTAGTTCAACAGAAACACTCCATGCATACTATACGCACGGGCACACGCATTATCGCCCACTCTCATCCGCAGTGTATACGCCGGACACCACGCACCGGGAGTTTAGCCGTGCCCCACTGACCGGGATAAAATCTGTCTTACACTTAACGCTAGTGTTCGGTGGTACGTTTGTGCTCCCCATGAAAGCGAACATATTGTGATTTTAAAATAAATTTATTGGTACGAAGGATCCATGGAAATATCAAAACATCTCAGCATCATCGCAGTTGTGACAATTCGCCTGCTGCGACGGAACGATAGCTTTAGCTACTGCGGATACTGATTACACAATGCCACACATTGACAGTCACATACGGCGGCGGCGGGCTCCCGGCACGATCGGCCCTGCTGGCCGGCGGCTGCGCGCGGTCCCTGACAGCGGCGGGCCGCACCCTCAGCGTTCGGCGCCGGCGTCCGCGCCCGCTGGGGGCGCGCGCTGGCGGCGGCGACGCGCGGCGCGCCAATCACGAGCGCGCGAGGCAGACGAGGGTCTGGAAGCGGCGACAGTGGGAGAGGAGGGACGCCGCGCCCGCACCGGGACGCTCAATCACCGGATTATTGAATCAGAGCGAGGCGGCGGGAAGCGGGCAGCGCTCGGCCGGCCGCTGGGCCGCGCTGGCCGGTCGCTGGGTAGCGCTGGTCGGCCGCTGGGTGGCGCTGGCCGGCCGCGCGGCGTGTCCTGACAGCGGCCGAGCCACCTACAACAGCCGGCATCGGGCGCGCTTCTTCTTCTTCACCTGCCGACGGGAGGTGGCGCTGAGAGCGGCCACCAGTGTGTACACAGCCGGCGGACGGGGACACAGGCACGACGCAGCTAGGCTTAGTCCGAAGGGCGTGCTGTCGCTCAGGTGAACAGTGCAGGCAACGAAACTTATGAATCAACACCAGCACCATTGGCCGAGCTTTGAAACATTCGTGCAATCACCAAGCAAAGGCGCCTCAACGAACCCAACAGCGCATCTAAAGCGAGACAGGTAGGGCCGTACCTGCAAGGCCGCGCGCGTGGCAGTCTCAAACACCTCTCGGACGCCCTCCTTGCTTTTGGCCGAGCACTCAAGGTAGGCGAAGGCGTTGATTTTCTCAGCCATGGCGCGCCCCTCCTCCGGCCGCACCGGCTCCTGCTTCATCTTGCTCAGCTCTTTAATGGTGTTCGGATCGTTCCGCAGGTCCTGCGGGAAGAGACGTATGCCAGTGAGCGTTGATGTTGCTCCAACGACCCCCCCCCCCCCCCCCCCCTCCCACCCCCAAGATGGAGAAACCACAATCCCCAGAACTATTAATGAAAGTGTGTTCCCGTTACCATCTCAGTCACGGTAACGGCAAATATGTACGAAATTCACACAGTAATCACAACATTCCAGGTCTCAATGCACTTTTCACGGCCATTGCAAAGCCAGATTTAGGCACTGCTTTTTTGGTGTTCAATGATGACGATGGTGATGATGTGGGCTATAGGGCGCGACGACCACCCAAGTGATATGGAATCCATGTGTTTAGAAGTACATCAAAACACAAGTGTGAACTTCCGAAAAGCCCATCCTAATGAATTCGTGATCGGGAAAATGATCAAAATTCAGAGGGTATCAAACAATTACGGGATGCAAAGGCACATCCAGCAATAAAGTCGACAAGTATGCTGAACATGTACAAAGTATAACGATGCGTGTGCTTTGTCCCAGTCCCCACGAGCCGAGCAACAATGCAGAGTGACTTCCGCATCTGCTAACCACAACTGACCATCGTTTTCCGACATCAGACCACTCACCAAGCCATACAGTTGATGGCATGTAATGTTTCCATAACGAGACCTCTACTTTGTTCTTTAATAATATGAAACATGAACCTCGCACATATACAGCCAAGCAGCCCCCCGCGGAAGTGAGACATTCTGCCCCGACGGGCAGACTATTTGCGAGCTGGCCGGTACGTTGCAGCGGAGCGACGTGGTCTGACCAGCGCCTCGCCGGCGGCGCACCTTCTTGTTGCCGACCAGGATGATGGGCACGTTGGGACAGAAGTGTTTGACCTCGGGCGTCCACTTCTCAGGGATGTTCTCGAGCGAGTCGGGCGAGTCGATCGAGAAGCACATGAGGATCACGTCCGTGTCCGGGTAGCTGAGGGGCCGCAGCCGGTCGTAGTCCTCCTGGCCGGCCGTGTCCCACAGCGCCAGCTCCACCTGTTGGCATACACCACAAACTGAAACAACAAAGGTCACCCCCCCCCCCCCTCAATTCTTGCACCCTTGCTCACGCTGACACATGGTGAAAGGCTCAGAGAGACTGTGAATGCAGTGGGAATGAGGGAAGGGAGGGCAAAAGTATACGGTTCCATATTACAGCATGGCATGCATAGCCCATTGGAGCTGATCACTGCTTTGTTGGGACATGCATAAGAAGTAATCTCATATACTTGGATGTAAGCAATTATCACGAAACTGATGTCCATCTCGAAGATCCTCGCCATCGACGACCACAAGACGCACAACACGAACGCAACACAAACCCATGCATGACTTGTACACAGCACACAAGGCAACAGCTTCGCCGGCCGTCCCTTGGAGGCCCGAGACTTCAGTTCGCCGGCCGTCCCCTGGGGCCGAGACTCCAGTTCGCCGGCCGTCCCCTGGGGCCGGGACTCCAGTTCGCCGGCCGTCCCCTGGGGCCGGGACTCCAGTTCGCCGGCCGTCCCCTGGGGCCGGGACTCCAGTTCGCCGGCCGTCCCCTGGGGCCGGGACTCCAGTTCGCTGACCGTCCCCTGGAGCCGGGACTTCAGTTTGCCGGCTCTCTGACCTCTCGAAGCCTTCGACCAAAGCTCACCTGTTTGCCGTCGACCTCGATGTCGGCCACGTAGTTCTCGAAGACGGTGGGCACGTACACCTCGGGGAACTGGTCCTTGCTGAACACGATCAGCAGGCAGGTCTTTCCGCAGGCGCCGTCGCCCACGATCACCAGCTTCTTCCGGATGGCCGCCATGCTCTAGCCGACTCAATGCCTGGTGAAGCAAGGACATGCAATGTGTTAAGAGATGCTATGTGGTGAAATAGCTGATATCTTTGCATCACTTATGGGCACTAATTACCATCTGCCCTTTACTATCCAAGTCTGACTATTCAGTCACCTGAACAATATTAAGATAATCTAAACAGACCCAACCAGAAAACTTTGGGATGCCCTGATCATTACCAGAACCCAACAAGAATGATTGTAAGCCATCAGAAACCTAAGACCACTGGTGAGCCACTAGCATTTTGAAAAAGTGAGACTTCCACAGACATTTGCAAAAGGCATTCATTTCCTGCTTTTTATGCAAAATAAACTCAGCTCTTATTGATGAGTTTTCAGCCTTCTATCTATCAGGTCAGATGATGTCATGTTGCATTGGTCATACTTTCAATACTCTACATTTTGAGCTGTGCTTATACCCATATGCAGACCATAAGCACAGACTGGAACATCAAGTATTCAAAATATAACTCATGTCTGCTCTATAACATCGTGTGACCATTATCTTCTCATATAATGAAGGCTGATGACCCAGCAGAAGGACTCCAGACTCACAATGACTTCCACCAACTGAGGCTATCCACAGCTTGACACGCCATGAAGTGCACGGTGCGCCAAATGTATTCCATGGGATGGTCCCAAGCTAGTGCTCCAAGTTAACACCAAAGGTCCCAGATTTTTGAAAATTTTGATAAATGTGACTCCTGCAGCCATGAGCACACACTGCAACCTGCGATATAAGCCACAGAGGGGGAAGCAAAACAAAACTAACAAATCAACTCAAGCCCCTGACTCTTGGCTGCAAGCTCGCTACCTGTCCTTGGAGTTACAGGGTGCCCACACAATCTTATGCAGCCAGCACACATATGAAATGTGTCCAGCCACATACAGCAAGGACAAATGACCACATAACTGATACCAAGAAAAGAGACAGCCTTCAAAGGCCAGAGTAACAGGCATAAAGCCTTAGCCCTCAAAAAGACCAAAAGGGTGACTTCCTTAATTACCTTTGATACACTTTCCACTAAAGACACATTAGACATTCAGCAATCAGCTGTGATTTTGTTGTTTAAGCAGCGCCCCATTTACAGCTTGTGCCAGATGGGTCAAAACCCATGATCTATAGAGTATGTAAACTAGATGAATCCTGTGGGACAATGTCTGCTTATATTACCATTTAGGACAGGGGACCTGGTCTTGCACAATCAGCACTGCTAAGACTCGAAATTAAGACATCATTCATGGATATGCCTAGCTTAACTTTCACTTCAAACAATTGTTTGGTGGACAAGACTCAACTGAATTGGGAGTACATTTGGAGAATGGATGACATGGTGTATTTTTTCTGATGTGTGAGGATCAAAACCAGTGAAAAATGTTTATTTCGTTTACACAGGGTTCCATGACAATCAACAATCATGACTATAACATAAGCATCTTATGTCAGGCTACACTTGCACCAAAAGTGGTTGATAAGTTGAAAAAGTTGATACAGTGGTAGCTGATATGGAAGGCTGTAATTTTCACTATTGAATTTAATTGCAAAAGGCAGAAAACAGTATAAACGTGGCATAGGTATCTTATGCCAGGTTACACTTCGTACAAAAATTGACACACTGGTAGACATTATGGTAGGCTGTAATTTTCATCCCTGAATTTGACTGCAGAAAGCAGAAAACAACACACTAACCCACCTCATGAGACCCCAAACTGTCTGTCCCTCTGCTTGCAGCAGTACATTTGGGTGTATGCTGAGGTGCAGGCTGACAGTTTGGTCATGCTTGCTAAGTGAGTTTTGGCAGATGGCATATGTAAATACTGATTATGACAAATGCAGTCACACTGTTTTAAGACTTGTGGAAAATACCTTCAAAATTGTGGAGGATTGCAGCATTGCATAGAGGTATTACCCAAGTTGAGAACTTTGACCACAGCTGATAATGAGCAAATAAAAACAAATATTTGGCTTATAGCCTGCTTTATGTGCTGTTGGCAACATTTTGATAGAGTTGCAAGTGGTGCATGGTCACAACTGATACACATACATATAGATCTCCCATGCAAATTGGCTTGTTGGTGCACCAGCTTCCATCCTCTGACATCCTTACTCCTCTTTGGCACTAGAAGTTAGCCCAAGGTTTCAAATGTGTTCCCCATGCCAGCCCTTCTTCATTATTTGTTCATATGCTTTGCAATTTCCAGCACACCACACATTTCCTGCCTTTGGGTTCACAATAGCACAAATTCAAATTCATCACCATAACCATCATGAACACATACTGAAAACATTAAAAGATAATAAAAACAATATATATATAAAATAATATCTATCTAAGAAGTTTTCTGGGACCTTTCACAACTTTCAGATAATGACCTGACTTAAACTTTAAGCAGCTACAATATGGATAACCAAAGATAACAGATTCATTTCAATTGATTTTCATGTGAGGCAAGACAAGAGTCCACCACATAAATTCTAAAATGGGGTGACTTAAGCTCAACAACTCATTAAACACTGCATGGGGTAATCACCTAATATATCATATGTCAAAAAAACATAGGCAAAACCCAATGGACCCAAACCTTTGGAGCTGAACAAATAAGAAGGTATAGACTGGAGGGTATTTACAACAATATGATAAATATTTCTAGTCAACAATCTTTTTGGATCACCTTGATGTCTTTCTCATATGACCACCTCCAATAAAACAAAATTGGGGTTGGCTTATGATCAAACTGGAATTCACTATCTATACTGCGCATAAATAAAACTGTCCACTTTTCTGATACAACAGCCATTTACAGTACATGCATTATCTTGGCAGTGGGGCAGCATTCTGCATATTTTAAACATAACTAAAAAGAAATGGTCCAAAGTTAAGGATATTGCAGCAAACATAAAATATGATGAAAGAAGCTCACTTACAAGTATCGGGACATTTTTAAGTCAAACCACTCTATCTAATGCCTACATAATGTGCTCGACAATATGTCATTCTGTTATATCATTGTACCTTGCACAATATTGACTGAAATCCACTTGGCAACTGATATATCTGGAAATCACACTAAAAAAGGCCAGATATGAACAACTAAAGAATCCCAGCTTTCTTAGCCTTGATTACACCATGGCCAAAGGAACAGCAAGACTCTAATAATGATAAGGTATAATGCATGCCTGAGTGACCTTGAAAGAGTTCCTGAAATAGCCTGCACATCCACATGGGCATGTACCTCAGAAACTGAAGGGGTTTGGGTCTTGTGGATAGGGCAGGGAACTACACCAAACTGTTCCCAAGATCATAATTCCAGTTCAAAACCTCATACAAATATGAAACATTCCCTTTAAGTGTCATAATCACTTTATTAACCTGCCAGTGAATGTAATCATTCCAGCCATGTACTGCTTATTGAATGTGTATATTGTGTTGATCCTGATCCAATTTTTCAGGCTACTGTTTACCATAGCTTCATTATGCTATCCGTCAAATGAGTTCTTTCATGTAATTTCACCTCACATCACAGACTTATGACAAATGCTACACCTAATTTGGTTCCTAATGCAGTGCAGAATAACCCCTGTCCCAGTGTAAAGCAACCAGATTTGGAAACAACAAAGGAAATAACACCATAAATGATGTGTGCAGTTGTGGATTCCAGGGGATGAATGCCCACCACCTACCTATGCATGGAGCGCATTACATCCAGTATATAGATGGTTCACACATACTTTTAGCATGTGCCTATGTGTTAATAGACATATGACCGTCATTACTGCAGCAACATTCGCATTACAAACCCACCATCCACGCCCAAAACCACAATGAATCATCAGTCATCCTGAGAGACAAAATTGACGCGGTGAAACTGCAGCCTCCCGGACGAGTAACAAATGTAACAAAGGCATAAACACCACCAAATCGAATATAGCCATGATACACCTCCGAAGGATTTAAACACTTACCGGGAGCAATCTCGGTCTTATCAAAAACAGCAGCAGCGCCCGGCAAGCCGCACACCACCGCCTCAGCCACACCTCAAATGCAACCGTCAGAGGGCAGCAGGGGTTACCTAAAAGAGATGGGTACAATTGAAATATAAACACTTGAAAAAGTGTTAGGATAGAGATGTGCTAAGGTCGTATCAATGAATACCAAAAATTCATGTGAATCCGGGCGTAGTTTTATTAAATAAGTTAAGAGAGTGAGATGGTGGCTGAACAGTGGAAAAATACCCAGCCTGCAAGTAAACTTTTACAACAAACAGGTTTCTCCACAGATTTGGCCAACTTTCTTCCCACAGTTAAGGGGTCTAAAGCCCAAAGTTGGGGGGGGGGGAGGGGGGGCCGAAGCTACCCAACTGAATGGGGAACTACCTACCCCTACTTGTGATGTAGGAACGGAGACGTGACTCCAAAACGCCCTTCCCGTCAGCATCGAACACGTATTTTTCACTACGTGAACTTGCACATAATCCCTCAATAATTATATAATTTTTTATTATAATTTTTGTTATCATTTGCAATAGGTGTAATGCTAAACAATAGTGATGAAATTCATTTCACGCCACCAGGCTGGTACATATCTTTGCATATGCAGGTGTAAAAAGACAACAGACACACACAAGCACAAACAAAGACATCAGGCAAGGTACTCAGTGCTTACTTGACAGGCCAGAGAACCTTATCCATGGTCATGACCTAATTCGCTTATTTGGTGACGATCGCGGACACACTGGCCCAGGTAGGCGACGGAAATATTCCGGACATCTGACCTGTTAACTGCCAGGATTTCCAGTGTCATGAGACTGCACTCATGTCGGATATGCACATGTGTCCTGGCAAAGACGCCACCGACCCCTACTTTCACGGGTGTCATTTTGTATTCTTTTGTAAGAGCCCTGCCGCCTCCCCCATGTTTTAGTTGGGGCCCCATGTTGGTTTGGTCTCAGATTGTTTTTGGCTGTAATACTACAAAAAGGGGGAAACATGATCATAACACGTAAAAAGGCATGGCACCTTTCACCACAAGATAAAAATAGTCACAGCTGAGGGGATTAACAATGCAACAAACTTCTCTTACCTAGCGCCATAAGACACGTAATGGTTTGTGAGGTTAAAACGAAAAGCTCTGGAATGTGGGGATGACCTGAGCTCTTCATGGCTAACCCCGTCACCGTCCCCCTCAGCCAAAATGCGTGCCGCCTCCCATGACCGCCATAGAAGAGTGTCAACGGCACCCTGAGGTGGCCCCTAAAGGGCGCCTTCACCTACAGATCAGAAGAGATGTGTGCGTCCCAGTGCCTGCTCTCTCGATCCAACCCTGCATGACTTCTATACTGCTTAAATTAGATACTTCTTATAAATTATACAAAGATTAAAAACATGCATTGCTTTTATCAAAATAAAGTGGGCTAAATCCGGTGAGAAAAAATGGGGGGGGGCGAGGGGTGGTAGGTTGTCGGCCCTTCGATTCGCCCCCCCCCCCCAAATAATTTACAAAAAATTGACACCCTTGCCGACTTCGCTCGCATGCAATGTCTTAACAATGCTGTTCTCACTGGACATGAGTCTTTGGCTCAACACCAGCTGCCGGCCAGCTACTAGCATGGGACTTGATAGGCGCTGACCATTGCATTCACTGTCAGGTGCGCACAAGGAGAGCAAGATCGGTGCGATAGGCAATTTGGCTGGCATTTCAGGGCCCGTAGCTACGGACTGGGAGCCCTTAATACAACCTCCAACCCGCTTTTCGGTCTCTTTGGTCCATCCCATCGTGCTCTTAATCTTCGGGCCGCTTATGACATCAGAAAGGACACGTGATCTTCAGTGCTTACCCTCGCCAGTGCCCATGTCACCATGTAACGGGGATCCTTCCCAGTGACATAAAATCTTCCATTCCATGGGACCGTGAAATCCCCCCCCCCCCCCTCCCCGCCCTCCTCCAATAAAAACTTCAGCTGGCGGATGCCCACGCCTGACCAAGTCTTTGAAGAAGTTCAGGCGGAGACTAGGAGGCAATACACCTGGGAGTCGCGGTAGATGCATGCATTCTGTATGAGGCCAATCATTCTAAGACATGCGGTTGTTCCTAATTTCGAAAAGAAAGAAGTGACAGCGAATCTATTTTGAAACGTCAGACGGGTCTTAACATGTGTCAGCTGGACTTTGATCGGCGTAGGTGTATGTCGAAGCGTTTGCATGCATATGACCAACAGGTGCACTTCACGCTTGTCACAGTGCTCCTGGACGCCACTGTACTTGGTTCAATCTTACGAGCAGCTGCGAGCGCAAGCCAAATAAGAGAGACCACGTACACGTGCGGCGAATCCAGCGCGATCAGCGCTTCATGCTTAGCTCCGTGCACGACGAACGTGGCACCACGCAAGCGACATCTACCGGCACTGCAGGGGATGAACCGTCCGTGCGAAGAGCAAATTCCCTCCCCAAAAGATACTACACCAGCGTTGGTGCACAAACCTCACCGCAGCGGCTACTAAGCCGCTGTGGTGAGGTTTGTGCCCTTTCCTGGTGACAGTGCTGCCGCTGGGACTTTGGCAGCCTGCACATACCTATTGCCACCGGTAACTGCGGCATGTGGTCGGTGGCTCCCCACCAGGTCACCTCGCTCCACGGAGATGATGGACTTGGGAACCGAGTGTGCGTGCGGTGGGTGGTACACCTGCGTGGTCACCGTCTTTCCCTGTTGCAGGAAATCTATGGGAGCCAGGTGTGTGGACCGTGAGTGGTCCGCCTGGTGGTCCGCTGAGTCTGTCGCGCAGAGGCTGCGTCGGATCGATCAGAAAACCCAGCTTCAGACTGCTCACGCTAGCGCGCCACTCCGGATATCACGTGTCCACGCGACGGTAACGCTGTCACTGTGCCGACCTGTCTGCGCTGTGGTCAGAATGGCCGCTCGAAGCCTGGCTGCCTTTTTGAGGCGGCGAGATATTACCACTACGGTAGAGAGGGTTACATGCAGCCAACTTTTTATAGGGTCGCTGAAGGGGAGCGCGTTCAAGACGACAGGCGCGCGCACCGGCTGCAGAGTCGTCGCGGACGCGGACAGCCAACGGCGGTCGTGTGTCGACCTTGGGTATCGTTGCCCGAGAGTTTATTGACGAGTTGCCCACATATATGACGGCTGATCGGGGAAGTGCGATGAGTATTGCCGGTAGTCGGGTGTACAGCCGGCTCAAGTTGCGTTCCCAGCCGCGTCCGTGTGATGCAGCATTTAAGACAGCGACGTAGCAACCGTTGCGGTTAGTTGAACGGTGTTCTACTACCGTGCCTTCACCTGTCTGCCCGTTCACCTACCGCTGTTACCTGACTGCTATGTCTGACTGCCTTCTGGGTACACATTTCTATACACACTCTCCGCTCATTTCTACTTGTACACCCCCGGGAGGTGCAGACGACAGCCCCGATCCGAACGCAGAGGAGCGACTGGGTGACTTGTTGTCGGGGATGCCTTCGGCTGCGAGACAGCGGGAGCAGTTCTTTGCGTTGTCGCGCCGTTATCCCAAGGTATTCTTAAGTCAGCTGAGTCCCTGCTCGTTCCTGGAGAGCAAGGACACCGGAGGCACCAGACCCATTCGAATCTCTCCGCACTGGAAATCGGAGGGCAAAGAGCAGGTGCACTTCATGGTGGATCAGAAGTTATTGGAACTACTCGATGGCAACTAGTCCCCGCCAGCCGTCCTAGTTAAGAAAGGGGATGAGACGATGCGCATTTGAGGTGATGTTCCGACGACTGAACAGCGGTGCGACGTGCCTGCGTTTCCAATACCGGCGATTGATTCGCTGCTCGGCTCGCGGTGGGTAAATTCGCAGCTCTCGGTGCTCGACCTCAGGCGCGGGTACAACCACATGGGCACCCAGTCGAAAGATAAATGCAACACATCCATAACTGTGCTTATTGTGCTTTGGGTGCTTAGATCCTGTCCATTTAGTTTAAGTGGTGCGCCGAGCTCATTTGCTTGGCTCTTTAATCTCCTGGTCGTTGATTTGGTATCTGGTGATGCCGTGAGTGACTTCGACGACACCGTGATCTTATCGGACATCGATCAGCATCACACGGCTGGAGAAGGTTTATGTCGATTGGCAGCCTCTAATCTGGCTCTAACCGTGCCCACGTTTCGGTTCGTCCAGTCGAAGAGAAGATACCTGAGTCATGCGGTATCAGCTGCGTAAGTTGTCCCGATTCGGATTAAGTCCTCAGAGGGAGCGGGTGCCGGTGCCCCTGAACGGAAAATCCCTGTCGCAGCTCCTAGGCCTGGCGACGTGTTTTAAGTGTTACATGAAGCACTTTGCTTGCGTCACTGGTGCATCCCTGCGTCCACACGTCCCTAATGATATCTTGGAAAATGGATGGCTTTAATAAGAAGATGTGTTAATTCAGTGGAACGACATACCATTTCCAGACGATGTGAAACTGCAGTTTTGTGGAAAGCTAAGAGCAGGGTGCAATTCACAAAAATCACTTTGTAAAACGACCGGTTGTGATCGACCAAATAGGTGTCGTTTTTCGTTCATCAGAGGCGGCCCGAGGCGCAAAGAAGTCAACATTTGCGGAATGGCGGTGTCTCACACGTACAGCGAAGAAGCTGGAAAAAATGTGTCGTGTACACTGGCAAGATATCCTAGTAAATGTGCACGACCTTCTGAACTGACACGTCGATAACTGAAACAACAGAGTAAAGGCAGGCGATGGGGTTAGTCACCAGGGTGGTCATGATAAAAAGTAGCACGACCGGCTCTTTGCTACGTATTTAGCTAAGCAAGAAAGGTTTTTAACACGCGCCCGGGTGGCCGGCTGAATACCCTTCGCTTGGATGGAGGGTCAATTTGACCATAGATCTCGGGAACTAAAAAAGCTAGAGACACCAAATTCGCAAAGTGTGTTGAACTACACGTGAGCTCACTTAGGTCAAACTTTGAGGTTCCTGGGTCATGGCCTTTGTGTTGAATAAGGTCAAACAAGGTCAAGTTCCAGGTTGGTCGTCAAAGTCCCCCAGAACCTAGATAACTGTTTCTAGGCAAAAGGCCACAGGCTTATTTAAGGTCGGCGACC